CTTTTAATAAGGGGAGACTGACAAATATTGGTGTTTTGGAGGTGGAAATTTAATTTTAATTTTAAATGCCAGAGATTGGCAATATAAAAAATATTAAGTGGGAGAAACGACACTTTCTCACAAGAAACCATCTTTTACTGTTAGTGCGAATTCGATATTTTTTGGTACCATTCGATAGAGGACCCTCGACTTCCTAATATGAAAACGGCTATCATGTCAAATCAGACCTGCTCACGGATACTGATGTTGGTATCCGTATCCGCATATTTACGGCGGATACAGACGGATATCCGCAGGCATTTTTATAATATCTGTATCGTATCCATGAGCAGGTCTGGTCACAATAGGAAGTCGAGGGTCCTCTATCGAATGGTACCAAAAAATATTTAAAGTCGCACTGACAGTAAACGATGGTTCCTTTCAGATAAAAAGTGAACGAGTTGAAGTTAGATTAAATTGGATATAATTAACGGATGTGGCTAAATAAATTTTTTGGGATTAGCCGCTAAGATATTCATATTCTTCCAAATTTAATAAGCAAAAATATTTTTTAGGCAGAAATTTAATTTTTGAAAATCATTTTCATCTTTCCGTTTTATAGGCATAATACATAAACCCAGAAAATTTATTTTTAAAGGCTTTGAGAGTTTATCCATTTGATTGTATTGTATTTCACGATGTCGATACATATCCAGAGAACGACAATCTTTTATATAGATGCTCAACAGATCCAAAAGTGGCTAGACATTTGAGTGTTTATCTTGAAAGGGCTAAATTTATGTAAATAAATATTTTATTAAATTTCACAAAGTTTACTTAAAATTCGCGAGGACCTCGGCGTCAGGCGTTAAGAATGGGTTTAACACGAAATTGGGGATCTTCTGTAAAGATAAAAATCTCAAGGCGTTAATCGCTAATTTTATGTAAACACAAAAAAGAGATTACCCCATACAGGTAAATAACGCCTTACGTTTTTCACGATTGCCCCCTGGTCCCATAGCGTCTACATAAAAACCTGCTGTTTAGCTAATCAGTAGTAATTGAGGGGTTTGGGATTTTTTGGAATCGATTTCAGATTTTCAAATCAAGGGTGTTTCAGGATTAATTTTGTTCTGAATTACCTTCTTCTTATTAATTTAACAAATTATTAGAGAGAGATACGCAGAATATGTTGGCGGCGTCCTGGCTCTAACAGTAGAGCAAATCAGAAAAGTTAATGGATATTCAAATGATTTTTGGGGGTGGGGGGCAGAAGATGATGATTTAAATAATAGGTATTATACGTAAAATGGTTTCTAAATAAAAAAATATTTCAGAGTAAAATTAGCCAATATGAGTTTTACAAGAAGCAAAACAAATATTTCTCGCTTTAGAAATACCATACACGAAAGAGATAGTGGAAATGCCCCTGATCCGTGAGTTATTTTTAAAGCTATATTCCAATTCTGTATTTCCAACTCTCAAATTATTCGTCATTCTTTTGTTTCTTCAATCTAAGTTTTACGGTTAGAGACCATGGATCTACATAACGAATCTGATTTACAATTTCACGAAATCGGGAAATTTTATTTTTATGTCGGACAGATAAGGGCTGGGGGCGAAAGATAAAAAAATATAAAAAAGAAAATTTTGGCTTGAAAAAGACTCGGTTAGGCCCGCCCGAAAAAGAACCTCCGAAAAAAATGACTCAAACTTCGGGCAACTCGAAAGCTCCAACCCTAATCTCTGTTTCCGAACATACCATTTCACATCGAATAAATTTTTTGATAGATTTGGGGGTGGGAAACCCTTAGAGCTTCAGAAATTCTAAAATTTATTGAAATAGGGATATATTTTAGAAGAAATACTTGTAGAATAAAAAATATTTTTTTTCTAGATGTCGAAGGAAACTTCTAGGCCTTACCAAACAAAAGTACTTGACAGATGGGTTCAGCAATTTAAATTATAGGGTGGAATCTATTAATTATGGGAAATTATATACTCACATAAAGGTAGATTGAATGTTGTAAAATGGAAAATTTTTTCTAAAATTGGAGATTATCTTAATTTATAGGTTCTCAGATAAGAAAAAACCTTTAAAATTCGAATAAGTAATTTAGCTCATGGTACTTTATTAATACCCCTCCCACACCTATTTGAGTCTCAAATTAATTTTTCTTTTTAATTGTCAATTATTCTTTCCCTCATAAAATTTAAGTAATTGAAAAGTAGAAGACCTCCTTTCTAATTTTCCTCCTTCTAACTTGCTTTTTGAGGGAAATGTATGAGGGAACGAATGATTGACGGTAAAAAGGAAAATTAATCTGAGGCTCAAATAGAGGTGGGGACGGGATATTAATAAAATACCCAGTTCAGAAATAATTTTTTCTGATCCGACACTTAGGTATTTAATTACTAAACTTTTTATTTTTAAAGGCAATTATTCCCGAAGAAGAATATACTAAATGGAAAAAATATATTAAAACTATTGGGTGTTAAATATAAATTATTTGGAATGATGCATTCTAGTCATGAAAATTAAAAAAATTTTTTTGTGCCTTTAAATTTAATTTATTTTTTCAAAAGATAATCAAATAATATTTTAATTAATTTTTGTTTTTAATTTTTATAAAAATTATTTTTTTTGTTTTTCTTAGTAAAATTATTGGCTCTACTCCAGTTTATGCGTCCAATCGACTTTTATGCGTCCAATGAAAGTTTATGCGTCCAATAAAAAGAAAATTGGATTTTTCTTGGTATTGCAAAGTTGGGTTATGGCTCCAAACCATTTCTTAATGTTCGGGACCTACGCCCACTGGGTCTGGTACCATTCCTTACACTATCCCTCGAAATTTTTTAAAGTTACAGCCAATTTTTTAAAATTTCAGAAAAACGATTATAACTTTCAGAAATTTCGAGGGGTCGGGTAAGGAACGGTCCCAGACCCAGTGGACGTAGGTCCCGAACATGAAGAAATGTTGTGGACCCATACCCCAACTGTGCAATACCAAGAAAAATCCAATTTTCTTTTTATTGGACGCATAAACTTTCATTGGACGCATAAAAGTCGATTGGACGCATAAACTGGAGTAGAGCCAAATTATTTATTTGAATAGGAAACATTCTTAAATAATTCCCGAGAAATAAATTCAAAAAATAAATATGCAAAGCTCCTATATCGCAATATTTCGCATTCTTTTAATCCCTCAATAAACAAATTTTATTTTTGATACTTTTACTAAATTCAAAAAAAATATTTAAAAAAATATTTACTAAAAGTCCAATCCAGGGCTGGACGAATTGAAAAAAAATTTCCGCGGCCGCAAGCCGCAATTTTAAATTTAAAATCCACAAGTCAAAAAAAACTCGCAATTTCACGCCATCCGCAATAATGCCCAGCCCTGGTCCAATCTCTTTATATTTAAAAAATTTTTTAGACAAGATGCCCTCTTTTCGACAATAAAAATTAATAAAATCCCTCTTAAACACCTTAAATAAATTTTTCTCCTCTCTCCACTTATCGTAGATGTCTCCCTTAATTTCATTTCTCATTTTTAATTTTTTAAATTTAAAAAATTTTTATTTAAACCCTCATAATTATTTTAAAAAAACTTTTTCTTAGCAAATGTTTTACTGCTAAAATATACCTAAAATGTACCCACTGCCAGCTTTTTGACAATAAAAATCAATAAACGTTAATCAATGTAAAATTGATTGACATCCCTGTTAAACAGCTTAATAAATTTCTCTCCTCTCTTTGCTTGCCTTATCGGATATCTCTTTTAATTGCCACTTTTCTTTCTTCATTTTTTAAATTAAAAAATGGTTAATTTAATAATAATGCCAATTGCAAAATTAAAAATAAGTAAATTAATGTACCGTATTTTCTCGATTAATTCCCCTGGGGAATTATTTTTCCAACCCTTCCTTGGCATGGTGATTTAATCGAGGGAGGGGAATTATTTGAGGGAAGGGAATTACGAGAAAATACGGTATGTAAAAATTTTTAAACTTTTCTACATTCATCTAAAATATTCTTTCTTCGTAAGAAAACCCCTCAAAAAATAAAAAAAAATTATCAAAATATAAAAAATATCAAAAAAATATTTAAAATTTTTAAATCTTCAATTTCGTCATCGGCATTTCACTTTTGTAGCAGAACCCGGAATTTTTGGTCGTGAACTCCAGCCCGAGAAATGTTCCGGCTAAAATTTCGGTTCCGGTGAAACACTAATATGTATCGAAGCAATCTTTAGTTATGTTTTTCTTGGATTTAGCCACCTTCATTAATCTTTTATTCACGCTTGTGATAAACATATTATTCCATACTTTTAAGATTTGTTGCTCTAATATTTTAATTTTTATTCTAAAATTTAATTTTAAACATATTTTATCGTCAATTATTAAAAAAATATTTATGAAACAATTTAAAAATATTTTTTAGATAAAATTTTGTTTGTCTCCTTTTTTATTTTTTACTAAATATTAGTGATTCATTCCAAATTTATTAATTTACTTTTTTCCTCATTTATCTTTTTCCATTTATTGTTTGAATTTTGCTTTTCCATTAAATATTGCTTTATTTGTTTTCATTCATTTATTAATTATTTAAATAAATCAAAAAAAAATTTTTTTCATTGATTTTTTAAATTTTTTTGCTTTAAACGGTTTTGAAAAATAATAAAAAATTCAAAAAAAAATTAATAAAAAATTTTTTTATTATCACACTTTTCTTATAATTTTTTATTTTTATTGAACATAATAAAATTTTAATGCTTTACCTTTGAAAAAAAAAAATTTTTTAGAATTGTTAAATTTTTTATTTTCTTAAATATTTACTGTTAGAACTTTATAAGCATTTACAAAAAATTATTTAAAATATTATTAAAATTTAAAAATAAATTTTAGATTTTTTGGACTGATAACAAGTAAATATATTTAGCTAAATAAATAATGTTATTATGTATACTTTAATAGAAATTTACTAAAAATTATATAGAAATGTGTTGGAATTTAAACATTTTTCTTATAATTTCCGAAAATTTCCTAAAATTTATACAATTTTTTGTTTCTGTCTAACCAACCTCTGTAAAATATCTCCAAAAAATCCAAATTCCTCCTCATCATTTTTAATTTGCTTAACAAAAATTGGGTCGTTGGTTTCAAAAAATTTCTCGATTGGAACCAGAGTGGGTCGGATTTCCATTTCCGACTTTTGAGCCAGTTCCAATTTTCGGCTCTTCCGATTTCCGCCACCTCTGACTGCCCACCTCTGGTTGAACCCACCAACCTCGCTTAATAACTGTTAATTTGTATTTGTAATTTCCCTTAAATTTAAAATAATTTTTTAAATTTATTTCTATAAGGTAAACAATGAAACAAATTTTCAAAATAATTTTAGCTTAGGAAAGAATTGAATTTAAAAACTAACCGAAAAAAATTTCAAAATAAAAATTAAACACTATTTCAATAAATTCAAATAAACAATTTTATCAATTGAATCGATACAATTTTACTGATAATAATTTCGTAAAAAACTAAAAAAAGTTAAAATATGCAAAGTCTATATTTAATAAAATAAAGCTAAAAAGGGCAACATTTTAAATTTTTTCTTTTTAAAAAATTTTTTTAAATTTAAAAGGCAGGTGTTCCAAAATTTAAAAAAATGATTTTTATATTTAAGCAATAATTTTAAATCTTTTTTAAAAATTGGCAGAAATTTATAAATTGACAACACGATAAAAAATTTTTATTTTATAAACTTCTAACTTTTAATTTAAAAAAAGAGAGTTAATATAATAATCCATAATTTTTAATTTATTAACAAATAAAAATGTAAGGTGCCAATCTCAGATTTCAAACCAAACTTCTGTTCTGATTTTTGTAGAATTTTATGTATTTTTATTATTTATATTTTTAAATTAGTCTCTTAAAATTCAAATTTATCCACTATATTTTTTAATTTCTTTAACTTAAAGATAGGGATGTTTATTTTATAAATTAATAACCTTTGATCAACAATTTAAAACCTGTAAATACCTAGGGACAAATTAAAAGTATTTAACAGACCTGTGCATGGACACGGATTTTGCTATCCGTATCCAGATATATCCGTATCCGTGCACAGGTCTGGTATTTAACCAAAAATATGTTCATTTATTACTATTTTCTAAAAAATTAGTCACACCTTGCATGTCTCAACTAGACCGGACTGGGAGTGTCGTATAAGAATCGAGATTGAGCTCTCGAAAAATTCTCGATCTTGATAACCGAGATTTTCGATCGAGATTTCGTCTTGATACGGTCTCTTGTTTTAACTAACAGACACGTTTATTTAAGTACCTCATCCAAAAATTTTTTTAAATATTTTAGATATTTTTAAAATATTTTAGATAATTATTTTTAAAAATAGTTTTATATTAATTTAGTGTATATTTGAATGTCCATAAATTCAACAAGCACAATTAACCTTAAAAATAGGGCAACATTAATTAAAGGGTTAATAATAATTATAACAGCATTAATAGCAGCTTATATATTAAATGATATAATTAATGGAGTTGAATTGAGGAGAATAGCAAAAATAAATTTAATTAAAATTAAATCGAAAATTGAAGAAGAAACGCCTCAAAAGATGGGAAATAATGGGAAAGGTAAAGGTGAACTTGAAGGGACGGTAGAAAATAAGGATGAAGAAAAGGATAAAATTGAAGTGAAAAATGAAGTTAGGAGTGAAGAAAGTAACGAAAAAATTAAAAAAGAAAAACAAAATGAAGCAAAAATTACTATAACACCTACTAACCCGAAGATTACAATATCAAATCAGCTAACAAAAACAATAAATAATAATGATACCCAACTTATCCAAATAGCACAACTTTGGAGAGTAAAACCAGTAAAATTTTTGCTTGGATTACAGTAGAAACTCTTTTTAGTTGACCCTTGGATAGTTGGAACTCCTCAGATATCCGGATCCGATATCCGAAACGAAAATTTCCGGATATCCGCCCTTTTTAGGATCCGGATATACGGATCAGACAATCCGTTTAGTTAGGGTAGTACCCCGAATGTTCGGGGGCGGTTTCAATTGTTTAGGGGCGGGGTTTGGGTCGGGAAGAGTCGTAAAAAAATCGTTCGAGAACGGGATCGGGTACAACTCTACACTTGGTGATGAAAAAAATCTTACCCTATAACGAAAGATTAATTAAAAAGGGGGAATCGTTTAGCGGAGCTCCCTTACCGTTATGGAACTCAATTTTAGATAGGGGTTGGAATTTGACTGTGAATTGAATTAATATTTTAAATATTTAAAAATTATATAAAATATTTAAGGACAATTTAACGCTCTGTCCAGAATTCCCTCCAAATCTAAAAGGCAAAATAGATGTAGATATGCGTTCTCTAAAATTGGAAGAAATTGAGGAAGAATATAAAGATTTGTGGCCTGGTGGGCATTGGAGACCTAAAGAATGTAAATCCAGGCAGAAAGTTGCTATTGTTGTGCCCTATAGGTTAGATATTGAAAACAAAAATATTTTCTGAACAAAAAAATATTTTAGAAATAGAGAACCTCATTTACGAACATTTCTTCATAATATTCATCGCTTTTTACAAAAACAACAATTAGATTATGCAATATTTGTTGTTGAACAAACTGGGGATTTTGCCTTTAATAAAGGAAGATTAACAAATATTGGTGTTTTGGAAGTTACTTTTTTTCTTTAGACGGACCTCTGCGTAGGATAGAACTTATCTTAGATACTTCTCAATTTAAGAGGCATTTTTTAATTTGGTTGACAACAGAGATGGGTCGGAATTCCGATTTCCGACTTCCGATTTCCGACGTTTTTTTCCTTCCGATTTCCGAAAAAAAATTTTGATTTCCGATTTCCGATTTCCGACAGTTCCGATTTCCGACGCCTCTGACTGTTCCGACCCACCTCTGGTTGACAACTGGGTTGGGAGTTGGGGGATCTAATTGACACCTCCTAATTATGTCACATCTCATTATAAGATAATATTTTAAGCACGTTTATATTATAATGAGGACCTACACTATTTTATCTTTTAAGGCTTTGAGAGTCTATCCATTTGATTGTATTGTATTTAATGATGTTGATACATATCCAGAGAATGACAATCTTCTATATAGATGCTCAACAGATCCAAAATATACTAAACATTTGAGTGTTTATCTTGAAAGGGGAGAATATAAGTAAATAAATATTTTATTATTTTACTTATCATATTTAACTAATTAGGGAGTTATATCCGGAATTTGTTGGTGGTGTTCTGGCATTAACAGTAGACCAACTCAGAAAAATTAATGGATATTCAAACGATTTTTGGGGATGGGGAGGAGAAGATGATGATTTAAATACAAGGTATTATCCGCTAGATAGTCTTTAAATAAAAGATAATAATTTTAGAGTAAAATTAGCGAATATGAGTTTTCAGAGAAATAAAACAGAAATATCTCGTTTTAGAACATTTAAACATGGAACAGATCATGGAAATGATCCTCATCCGTAAGTTACTTTTTAATTAATACATAATGCTTCTTCTCAACTAATTAATTAATTTTCCTTCCTTTTAAACATCAATCTTATTTTTAAAAAGTAAATTAGCTAAGAAAAATACTGTAAGACTTGAGGTTTGTCCGGAGCCGGTGCTAGGATCTTGAAATGCCCAGCGCCGAAATCACAAGACGCCCTATACTCATCATTAATGATCAAAACTTTAGTGTGTATGTTTTACCACGACCCCGACTCGGGGATTGTGTCGTGGATCGGGGTTTGTGGGGTAGAGAATTCGGGTCGGGGTTTTTGTTTGTTTCTCATAAATCTGTACCTATATCTAAATATTAATAGGGCTTTTTAATAAATACTTTCACTATACAGCTAGTGGATATATTTGTGAATAATAATCTTTCGTTTATCAAAATTTATTTTCTAGATGTCGATTTAAACTTATAGGCCTCACTAAACAAAAATACCTAACAGATGGATTCAGCAATTTAAATTATAGGGTGGAATCTATTAATTATGGAAAATTATATACTCACATAAAGGTAGATTAATTAATATTTAATGGTAAAAATAAAAGTATAATTCGTTATATCTTCGATATGATTCGTAAAAGGATGATAATGAATTTTAAATATAAATTAAAATACCATAATTAAAATAACTGATAAACAATTTTAAAAAATAAAAAAGAATTTTCCTCAATAAGGAAAAAAATTTTAATGATCTTTATTATCGTTTTCGAATATAATTTTAAGTTCGGAAGACTTAATTTATTAATAAATTTATTTTTTATTTAAAGGCTGACGTTTTTGAAGAAGAATATAATAAATGGAAAAAATATATTAAAACTATCGGGTGTTAATTTATTAAATATTTTTGATTTACTTGGAGAGAAGATATTTATCCTGTAAAATATTTTAAAAATTTTTCTTCGCCTTAAAAATTTTATTTCTTCAACAAAATGGTACTCTGAATGATACATTGTATTATAAATAAAGTTGCTTATCCTGCGAAATTCAAATTAGAGATCGAATCAGACCAGAACTCGAGCAAAAATCTCGGGTATCTAGACCATTCTTTTCCTAGATTCGATCTCGATTATTGTACAACACTTATAGCCCAGGCTCTAATCGAAATCTTCGGCTTTCCGGATTTTTAGAATCCTCTGCTATCCGTATCTGTTAGTGATGGTCAAGACTCTCGGTTCTCGAGTCGGGAAATTTCTCGGGTTTTTTGAGCTCTCGGTCTCAACTCTAAGCTTTTTTTAACTCCCGACCCTCACTAATATCCGCCAACCCTATTAATATTGTTTTCTTATTTATAAAATATATTGATAATTGTTTACCTCAAAAATTATTTCTTAATTATGTGAAAACTTTGTTTTATATTTGTGATAAAAAATAATTTTTTATTTCACTTTAATTTATAAATAAATTTTTTAATAATGATAATAGTAATTTATCTGCCATTGAGGCATTAAGTGTTGTAACAAATAAATGTAATTGTAACTAGAGTTGGCCGGGATCGAGATCCCGGTCGGGATCGGGCGGGATTATCCCGGATTTTTCAAATCCCGATCCCGATTTTTCTGATCCCGAAACCGAAAGGTGAATCCCGATCCCGGTTTTGGATGATCCCGATCCCGTGTCGAGATCCGGGATCGGGATTACCATTCCAAAATCCCGATCCCGGGTTTTTCTCTAAATCCCGATACCGGCCAACTCTAATTGTAACGTGAATGGAAAAATAAATAAATAAAATGAAAAAAATGTGTATAAGACAATGGGATCAACTGATATAACCTAGGGGATCTAACGTTAATTGAGTCAAGCTAAACCTATCTAATAGTTTATTAAATTGTATGGAAGTTTGTTTTCTAATATTTTCTAATATGTTATTATGAGTATAGGCGAATTGATTAAATTATTTGATTGAAAATATTTTTTTAGAAACTTCTTAAATTCAATTAAAAAATTTTTTATTACAAAGTACTAAATTATTTCGAAAAATAGATTTAAAAAAGTCAAAGATCTGCAATATTTTAAACACAGTCTCGAGCCTTAGAAAATTTCGAATCTTCGAGTGTTGTTTAATAAATAATAGTTTTTAAATAGTTTAGAGACTAAACCACATTTGATTTCAAGTTTCTTAGATAAAAAATTTTGTACATTGACAAGTACCTAGAGTACCGACGAATACAGAAGAAAATTTTACAGTTTTTTGATACTCACAATAAAATTAAAAAAAAATTTTGAATTCAATTTGGAATGATAAGGAATATTAATTTCTGAAATGTCTAAACAATCTCTGATTACACTCTGTAACTTTTAATTTAAAATTTCTTAAAATCCAAATTTCTTAGTCAAAACATGACTAAGCAAATCTTTTAAATAACTGATCTTATAATGTTGTGGGATCACAAAATGTGATCACAAATCTTCTGTAAACCAAATTAGTGGTAAAAAAGATGTATTAAAAACTCGACGCAAAGCCAAACCCAACAGAAAGAAGTCTCTGTAGGGTTGGTTTTGGCTTAAAACAATATTCAGTTAATGCTTTATTCACCAAACAAATTTTAACAGCTGTTTTGCCACGAGACAATTTTTAACTATGCCAGGTCATTTTTTTATTTATTTAGTAGTTTTCGACGTATCATTATATTAGAGGAAGTTTTTGACTTAAAATTTAAATTCAAAGCAGATGTATAATATTTTTTAATAAATCAAGGGTCAAAAGTTAAATTTATTTATTTAGAAGCAGTCTTATCCGTTTCAAATATTTCTGGCAGGTTAATTAGGGAGATTGACGACAGAATAAAAAAATGATTAAAAATCAAAATGAAATTTTGTTTGACTTTCAAAAAAATTTTTAATAAAATTTTAAAAAATTTCTTTATTTTTTTATTAAATACAATCCATTTCTAATATTATTTTTTCTCCCGTCAAATTTTAATATAAAAATCTAGGCAGAGTAAATTTAATTTAAATTTTCTTGAATTTATTAATGCCCATCTAAGCAAAAGCTTAGAATCTTCTTTGTTGTTACTAACATTGTCTTACTATAAACCAGAGTTGGGTCGGAATTCCGATTTCCGACTTCAGATTTCCGACGTTTTTTCCTTCCGATTTCTGAAAAAAAATTTTGATTTCCGATTTTCATGTTCCGACTTTTGAGCCAGTTCCGATTTCCGATACCTCTGACTGTTCCGATCCACCTCTGCTATAAATTAGATTTTGATTAATACTTGATAGCTTCATAGCACTGTCTTTTTGCAAAAGAATGTGGCCATACCTTTGCAAAAAATTTTTTCCATAAATAAATTTTTTAGTGATTTATTTATGCAAAAACTAAATTTTATTAAAAAAATAATAATAAAACTCGCAAATAATTTAAATTTTTCTTATTAAAGCATGTGAATTATTAATGGATGATACAAAACACAAATTGGGAAAATTTTTTATTATTATTCATTTTTTTATTTATGTATATTATTTTTGGCCCACAAAGTTACCTCGTATCCCAACGATTGAAAAGCAAAATGAAAAATCGCTCGTTTGGGAGCTCTCCGAATTTCATTTGAGAGATTTGACGATATCAGGCCTGATCCAGTCTTTTGCCAGTTCCCGCGAGGGGCCTCTAAAACACGAAAATTTTTATATCCCTATCTTGCCAAAAATAAGTTTTATTAAATTTTAATAAACGATTAAAATAAGCCTGTGATTTATTAACTATAACTCGAAATCGTAAACCATGTCTGAGATTTTCCGGTTTTCTGAGTGTACAGGTTAATAACCGGTTGTGTCTGACCGTGGATTTGTCTCTCTTTAAATATTTTAATCATTAATTTATTAAATTGACAACACGATAAAAATTTTGAGCCAAATGAAAAATAAAAAAATATTTAGCTATTTGCCAAAATTTATTTTTATTTTATTTCTATATTTTCCCTCTCTATACAAAAACAAATTTGCATTCAAAGCTATGCTTTTTGCAAAATTTAATGAAAAATCCTTACATTTATTAAGCATTAATTTAAATTGGTATACAGCAAAAAATACCAATTTAGTTTAATTTTATATTATAATATTTATTACAGGTAGACTTAAATATAGACCCTTAGAGATGGAATCGCTAAAGCAGCTCCTCTATTCAGTGGCCAGCCAAATTTTAATAAATGGCTCTTAGGTTGAGGACCACGTTCACGTATATGTTGAAGCTCTTTTCTTGTTCTTATTGTAGATCAGTGAATCACGGTTTTGGAATAGGTTAATAAAAAGGGCACCGTGAAACTTCCGAAAATTCTGACTAAGTTAATGAGGAAAGACTAGGATATTATTAAGAGTTTAATACTAAATCTCAAGGCTCCTGATGAGCTTACAAATAGGCCGATCACCATTCAATCCCATTATAAAATTTTTAATGTTTCTTGTTTGTTTCGCAGAATGCCAAATTATTTCAGTGTTTAAATTTTCTTCACTTATCGAAAAAGACATAAAAAATTTAAATAATTATTTTAGAAAATTATTTAATAAAATTTAAATGTTTATAAATCAAACAAACAAAATTAACCCTCGAAGTAATGCATCATTACTTAAAGGATTAATAATTATTATAGCAGCATTAATAACAGCCTTTTTATTAATTAATGAAGTTGGATTGAGGAGAATATCAAAAATAAATTTAAATAAAATTAAATCAAAAATTGAAGTAGAAATACCTCAAAAAATGGAAAATGAAGAAGAAAACAAATCTAATAAAGTTCTGCCAGTTAATGAAGATCTAGCGGAAACGTGGAGAGTAGAACAAGTAATATTTTGATTCTATAGACGAACTCCCATTTTTAGATACCGCTTGGATATTGGACAAAGGGTGAATCTCTTGGGGAGGGGTAGGGCATGGAAAGGGGGGGGGAGGGGTCGCAAAGCAGTAAGGATGAGCCCTATACATTTTTAAAATCGGAAGACGGAAGCTGAAGGCAGCAGATCTCTGCGAATCAGCTCCCTCGCCTATGTAGCTAAACAAAATCTTAAAAACATATCTTTACTTGTGGATTGAGTGTATTTGTCACTTCTGTGAATTAAATTTCTATTTTATTTAAAATATATTTTAAAGGACAATTTAACACTCTGTCCAGAAATCCCTCCAAATCTAAAAGGCAAAATAGATGTAGATATGCGTTCTCTAAAATTGGAAGAAATTGAGGAAGAATATAAAGATTTGTGGCCTGGTGGGCATTGGAGACCTAAAGAATGTAAATCCAGGCAGAAAGTTGCTATTGTTGTGCCTTATAGGTTAGATATTGAAGACAAAAATATTTTCTGAACAAAAAAATATTTTAGAAATAGAGAACCTCATTTACGAACATTTCTTCATAATATTCATCGTTTTTTACAAAAACAACAATTAGATTATGCAATATTTGTTGTTGAGCAAATGGGAAACAAATTACCTTTTAATAAAGCGAGAATGACGAATATTGGTGTTGTAGAAGTAAAAATTAGTATTATAATTTAAAGCATATAGCTATTTAATCCCTAACAAAGGAGAGTGCCTGAGGTGTCCGTAGGACTTCGGGATGAAATTTGGTAGACAGAGATTATACCCTACTTTAGTTGTGTACTCTGTTTGTGAAGCGACCCACCTCTGTTTGGGACCTAAAAATCCGGGCACTTATTATTATATTATTTTGAAGATCTAAGGATATGCAGTAGGCGGCATTGTGTAGTGAATAACTCATTAGTCCGGTCTACAGAAGATGCTGGTTCACACACAGCCGCCGAATAAACCTTTGATGGAGAGAAATAGCTTAGCCTAGCTGCTTTACTATAATGAGTTCTTACCACTCTCCAGTCTGAAAATTTTTAAATTACACGCTGATGAACAGCGTGAACCTTTTAAATGAATGTGCTGAAGAAGATTTACTGTATTTTATTTTTTAAGGCTTTGAGAGTTTATCCATTTGAGTGTATTATATTTAATGATATTGATACATATCCAGAGAATGACAATCTTTTATATAGATGCTCAACAGATCCGAAATATACTAGACATTTTAGTGTTTATATGGAACGGACTGGCTATAAGTAAATAAATCTTGATTATTTTAAAATAATAAATATTAGAGATAATATCAATATTAGAGATAATTAATTTAATTATTAGAGAGTTATATCCCGAATTTGTTGGCGGCGTTCTCGCGCTAACTGTAGAACAACTCAGAAAAGTTAATGGATATTCAAATGATTTTTGGGGATGGGGTCAAGAGGATGATGATTTAAATAAGAGGTATTTTAATTAGTTATAGGATATTTGAAATGATAAAATATTTTAGAGTAAAATTAGCCAACATGAGTTTTATAAGAAGTAAATCAGAAATTTCTCGCTTTAAAAATTTCATTCATAAAAGAGATCGTGGAAACGAGCCTCATCCGTGAGTTATTTTTAAAATAATTATTACGTTTCTTTGAACTTTGGTTACCCAGGCTTTATTTTATTATTCTTCTCTGTGAAATTTTATCTCAAAACGATTATTTATCAATATTAGAGATAGCTTTCTTCTTTAAACAAAGGGGGCTTATTCAATTCTAGAGGAGTTATGTAATCCCAAAATAATAAATAGTACATGCTTGATCATTCAATATTTATTTTCTAGTTGTCGATATAAACTTCTAGCCCTTACTGAACAAAAGTACCTAACAGATGGATACAGCAATTTAAATTATAGGGTGGAATCTATTAATTATGGAAAATTATATACTCACATAAAGGTGAATATTTAATAAAACCGGTCATCTCTACAGCATTAATGAGGCTATAAGTAAATTACTAGCTAATTAATATACGAATACCTATTGGGGCGCTTCATCAACATCCCTTATAAGCATAAACTCCCAAAATCGCTCTTACAAAGGAGAGGCTGTTGGGTGTCCTTGGCACTTCGGGATTAAATTTGGTAGGTAGGTAGATCAAGCCCTTTCCATTTTTAAACTTGAAACCGTTTCCGCTGAATAATATTTTTTGATTAAAATAATTTTTTCTAAACTTTATTTAAAGGCAATTATTCCCGAAGAAGATTATACTAAATGGAAGGAATATATTAAAACTATTGGGTGTTAATAGAGACACTTTTATTGGCTTATATGGAATGATCATTTATTTTCCGTTAACTTCAAATTTTCAATCTACAGCATCATTAAGAGTTGTTCCCATGAACATTAAGTTGGATCAAATACCTTGAATTATTTTTTGAAACCCTCTTCCTCAACGTTTTTTCAGAAATAACCTCCTCAAATTTTTCACTGATGTTTAGATTATTAAAAAAATTTTTTTCCTATTCTAATCATTCTTATTAATTTTTGATTTCATGAGGAAAACATGTGTACCTATCTATTAGAGATGTGCGAGACTCTTGGTCTTGGTCTTGGAACCAAGACTTTTCTTGGTTTTTTTTCGGTCTTGGTCTTGGGGTGTTTGTCTTGGTCTTGTCTTGGTTTTATTTTTTGGTCTTGGTTTTTTGGCCTTTTTGGACCTAGTGCTTGGCCATCCAAAATCCTCAAAATTTTCGCCTGCGGCGCAGAAAATGGAAGAAATCTGGCTTCTTGAGCTCCAAAATTCAAAAAATTTTCGCCTGCGGCGCTGAAAATGTGAATTTTTTTGGCCTACGGCCTTCCAAAATTTTCAAAATTTTTGCCTGCGGCGCAGGTAAAGGAAGATTTTTTGGCTTCTTTGCTTTCATAATTCCCAAAATTTTCGCCTGCGGCGCTAAATCCCACGGCTATCCCTCTTAATCTTTTGATATCACTAATATCCCTTTAATCCACCCAAATCCTCTGAAATAATATATCTCATTGATTATCCACCTGGATAAATTCTCCAAATTTCTTTGAATTTCGCGTAGATTTTAGAAATTATAGGAGATTGTGCTGAAGTTGACTGTGATCGTATCAAAATAACAAAAAATAAACCAAAAATTTGACCTATGGGATTTAAAAATTTGGTCTTGATTTTTGGTCTTGAGTCTTGGAGTTTTGGTCTTGGTCTTGTGTCTTGGTCTTGGAAAAAATTTTGTCTTGGGTCTTGAGTCTTGGAAAAATTTCGGTCTCGCACATCTCTACTATCTATAGTTTTCTTTAAATTATATTTAAAAAACCTCAATCAAAAAACCTCCCATTCCTTTAACACGTATTAAATCGTGTAAAATATAATTTAATGTTGGCTGGTTATTTTGTGTTAAATTGTTTGTTTGCCTTTTTTTAACCTTTTTAACAATTTTGATTTTATTTAAATTCTTTATATAAAATAAGCATCTAAAAAATATTTTTCAAAATATTTTTGAATAAAATCTTTGAACTAATAAATTTATAAAATTTATTTTTGACTATAAAATAAGCTTGGAAGTTCACTTGATCTAAAGGTTTTGGATAAGATCCGACCAGCGAAAATTTTCAATCCGATTAAAATTTGGGCACCTTAAACCACGAACCCTGATCCTTCGAAGAAAATTTTGAAAGCCTATCTGAAACCCGTTCCGACTTTTTCTCAATGCGTCACATCCCTGCTTTAAAAACAGCGCCAATCTGTCAATATACTAGAGAAGGAGTTTAGCAAAAGTTTAGCCACCGGGCAGGATTCGAACCTGCAACCATCTGCTACAGGGGTGTGCCGAAACGGATTTTAAAAAGCGAAACGTGAAAGTAAATTTAAAAAAGCGACACGCGAAACGCGAAAGTCCAAAAACGCGAAAATCCGCCAAAGGCGAAACGCGAAACTCGCACACCCCTGATCTGCTACTCGTTGCTAGGCGTTTACGCTCGCTATATGCAGGAGCTCTACCACTGAGCTACCGGGGCATCGATAATGCTTTCTCTTTTTCCATTTTAGATCGTTTATCCCCCGCCTAAACATTTTAAATGCTGCTGGGTGAATCATCCTTACACCAGTAAAATCTAAAATAATTTTAATTCACAATAAATACTATGAATTTTTACGAAATAAATTTATTTAAATCTTTTTTATAATTCAATAAAAAAATTTTAAAACATGAAACATTTAATTTTAATTTTTTTATTTTTATTGGAAATGTGTCATAAAAATCGTTACAACAACGTTCTTGCGTTTACGTTTTTAATGACAAACATAGGAGCGTGCTAGGACTTATTATCGAAGAAATTGGGAGAATTTTTTGCACAATCCCCAGCCCACAAATATTTTTAAAATTCATTAAATAAGGCATTTTATTCCCTAAAATTTTATTCCTTAACAAAATAAAGGCACTTTATTCCCTAAAAATTAACAAATCTTTCACCTTTGATCATTTCTTTTACTAGTTAATAAACGAATTAAATCAAGGTAAAAGCTCTCTATATCTCCCATACTCCGATTCAAACAATTAATATGCCATTTGAAAGAGCTCAGGGAGATGATTTGAATGAATCCAAAATTATCCTTGAAACTCAACTATGGACCGGGATACGGCCCCTGAAATTGTCTAGATCGGAGTATGGGTGGGAGATATGAGGGGAAATCAAAAAAATACATAAATATATTCAAGATCCGTGTCTAAACAAATATTTCTGATTTTATAAAAAATATTTTTTTCCAGTTTTCTTCAATAAATGGCTGTAAAACCTTTCATTAAAGTATTAATATTTGTTTCTTCGGCCCTATTTGCAGCTTATTTATTTCGTGAATTTGTTATTAGCAGGGAATCAGCACAAATTACACAAATTTCACGTTTAATTAAATGGCAAATGGATTCGGTTACGCCTAAAAAAGTTGAAGATGGGGATAAAATTAATTTGTTAAATGATGAAAAAGATAATACGGAAGATAGGAAGGAAGAGGGGAAAGAAGAGAAGAAGGAGGAGAGTAAAGAGGGGAAGAAAGAAGAGAAGAAGGAAGAGAAGAAGGAGGAGAGGAAGGAAGGGAAAAAGGACGAGAAGAAGGAGGAAAAAAAGGAAGAGAGGAAAGAAGAGAAGAAGGTAGAAGGGAAAAAGGACGAGAAGAAGGAGAAAAAGGACGAGAAAAAGGAAGTGAGGAAGGATGAAAAGAAGGAAGAGAAGAAGAATGGAAGGAAGGAAGAGAGAAAGGATGGGAAGAAGGAAGAGAAAAAAGAAGGGAAGAAGCAAGTGAAGGAAAATTTAGTTAACGATAAAACAACAACAATCACTATTAACACCAATAAGTTAACTAGTAACTTAATGAAAGAAAACAAAACTGGACCTCAATTAATCGAAATATCAAAGATTTGGAGAGTTCAACAAGTAACGATATTATAGACAAATTCCTTTACTATAAAATTCCTACCGAGTATATCCACAAAGACACTTCCTGATCTTGGATCAATCATAGAACTGTACTAAGTTTCCCAGTCTATTACTAACATGATTTCAAGCTCTCGAAGGTGTTCCAGGATCTCCCTAATTTTATTTAAAAATTTAAGGGTTGTATTACTACCTAATAGTATCTTCCGGACGGAATTTACCTCTAAACTTGATATTTTTAAGTATTTTAAAACATTTAAAGGACAATTTAACACTCTGTCCAGAAATCCCTCCAAATCTAAAAGGCAAAATAGATGTAGATATGCGTTCTCTAAAATTAGAAGAAATTGAGGAAGAATATAAAAATTTGTGGCCTGGTGGGCATTGGAGACCTAAAGAATGTAAATCCAGGCAGAAAGTTGCTATTGTTGTGCCTTATAGGTTAGATATTGAAAACAAAAATATTTTCTGAACAAAAAAATATTTTAGAAATAGAGAACCTCATTTACGAACATTTCTTCATAATATTCATCGGTTTTTACAAAAACAACAATTAGATTATGCAATATTTGTTGTTGAACAAATGGGTAATTTTGCCTTTAATAAAGGAAGACTAACAAATATTGGTGTTTTGGAAGTAATTATAATTATTTTTAATTTAAACATCTGTGTTAAATGTCCAAAATATATACCAAGTATTTAGAAAACCTAGCTCGAGTACTAAGTGCTGCTCTATAGGGCGAGTTCCGAACAAATCTTTGCTAAAAAAGCATTGGTCGAGCCCAGTGTTGTTTTTTCTAAACCACTAAAATGGGGTGCAGCCACTCAAAAATGGGGAAAAATAGGGCGAAAAGATCAAAAATGGGAAAATGTCCTGTAAATAGGGTAAAAAACAACCCTGGTCGAGCCTAATTAGAGTAATTAAACACGTTCTACTTGACTTACTAAAGCACATAAGGTTGGTTCTTGATCCGTCAAGGAGAAGATTTTCGGGTAAAAGATGACCGGGGTTTGACTAAAAGTAATTGTAGGGATTGGAGGGGACAAAGATAACCAAAAATCTGCATATTTATTTTTATTTTAAAGGCAATAAGAGTTTATCCATTTGACTGTATCATATTTCACGATGTTGATACGTATCCAGAGAATGACAAAATTTTATATAGATGCTCAACAGATCCGAAACATACTAAACATTTAAGTGTTTATCTTGAAAGGATTGGCTATAAGTAAATTTAATAATTAAATAAATTTTAATATCTCTACTTGAGCCGATTATCAACCATTTTCCTTACCATACAGACTGCTTATTAAATGAGAAATTTTTTAATCCAAATAGGGCAGCTCAAATAGTGATAAATCTTAATCATTTATCTATCTATTCATTTTATTTTTAACTAGAGAATACTACCCAGGATTTATTGGTGGCGTCCTGGCTCTAACAGTAGAGCAACTCAGAAAAGTTAATGGATATTCAAATGACTTTTGGGGATGGGGAGGGGAAGATGATGATTTAAATACAAGGTATTCTCCGCTAGATAGTCTTTAAATAAAAAATATAATTTTAGAGTGAAGATAGCCAATATGAGTTTTCATAGAAATAAAACAGAGATTTCTCGCTTTAGATCATTTAAACACGACAAAGATGCAGGAAATGAGCCTCATAATTAAGTTTTTTTCTAATTAGAAAATCCTCCGTTTTTAAATATTTAAAAAATTTATTTTTTAGTTGTCGGTTCAAATTGATAAAAATGACAAAGGAAAAGTATTTAACAGATGGTTTCAGCAATTTAAACTATAGGGTTGAATTTATAAATTTTGGAAAATTGTATACACATATAATGGTAAGTTTTGAAAAAACTTTATAAGAAAGCATTTTATATTCCTTCATAAAAATTTTAGACTTTGGTTAACTACTATTATTAGGATTCGGATCCGGATTCCAGATTTGGCAATGGAGCCAGACCGGATCCGGCCGGATTTTTCCAGATTAATCCGGTCCAATTTTAGTCCGGAAATTCAAAAAAACCCGGATTTGGGATCCGGACTCAAGGAAAAATCCGGCCGGATCCGGTCCGGTGCCACGCACTAATTATTATTGTTGTCTAAAGAGGGACTCTCGAGGAAATTCTTCTTGGTTCTTTTTATCTGTTAGGGCCGTGTAGCAACCCGACCCTTCGGGGGCGGGTGTGTCGGGGGTCGGGGTAGAGCTTTCGGGGTTCGGTTCAGTGGTTTTGCTAAAAAATCCGTCGGGGTCTGGGTTTTCGGGGTCGGCTTGCTACCAGGGATGGGTCGTGTCGACGGTTGCGGGTTGAGATTTTTCTCATTTTCTTATATATGGAATTAATTTGAAAAAGTGTATATGGAGTAGGTTAAAAGGAACCCGGAGCCTTTATTTTTGGTCCAATTTTCAAATAATTTTCTATTTGTATAGCGTCATGTTTGACAGACAAACTGCCAAGAATTGGACAAAAAATCTTAACTTCTGTTCAAAAAGCAGGCATAAAAAATTATAAAAATTTAACAAAAATTACTCCGTATACACTTTTTCAAATAATTTCAGATATAAGAATATGGGCAAAATTACAAACCCGCAATCGTCGACCCGACCCATCTCTGATCCCTGCTTGCTACCTTAATTGACCATAAAAAATTGTATAAAGAATTTTCAATTTCGGGAATCGAAGTTCAAAATCGAGGAAACAAACCCGAAAATTATTGGGATCTATCAGATCCCAATAATTTTTGGGTTTGTTATAAACAGAAATTATCAAATATAAACAGAAATTATCCTTAAAATTCACTAACTTTTGTAAAATTTAAACAATTAAAGGTAGATGTGCTAGAAGAAGAATATAATAAATGGAAAAAATATATTAAAAAAATAGGATGTTAATAATGATTGTTTTTATCAGATTAATTTAAATTCTAATTGTTTATACTTTGAAATTATAAATTATTTAATATTTTTGATTAGGATTTATAAATTATTAATTTTTTATTATGTCCAAGGGTTGTCAGAGATTTAACTAATGTCGAAATTATCTAGCAAACTTATCTAGTTTTTTCAAATTCATCTAAAATCATCCAGCCCCGGTGCGTTAACTTTTGCACCCAAAAAATTCAACCACATTTTATAAATATGAAAAAATTTGTCAAATTATCATTATTGATAAAAATTTGTATTCATTAGATTAATTAATCAAATTAATCACATTATCAGCCACATTATCATCAATAATCACATTATCATCAATTAATCAAATTAATCACATTATCAGCTCCTATATATTTTCATTGTTTTTGTGCCACGAAACCAATTTTTCTTTGCCCAAAATCATAAACCTATAAAATCATAAACCTCTAAGACGAGACGAAAATTACATCACGAGTGTGACTAGATTAAAAATTTCTTATAAAATTACCGTGCAATATTTTCGAATGAACGGATCGCCAAATATCCATAATTCTGAACCTTTAATTAGATATATTTATAGTTACATCGAATAGTTTTACTTGATAATATAATATAATTTACGGAGATTCGACCTAGAGACTGTTAATTTTTAACAAAGTTATAGCAATATGAAACTCAATTATTTTATAGCCGTCCCCGAAATTAAGTGAAGTTGCCTATTTTTTGAAAATAAAATTTAAAATTACCTCCAGAAGCTATTCCAAACTCACAAAATTCATCGCCAATGTCTTCATTGCGAATGGTCAAAACCTCCTAAATTTTAAAATATTTTAGTGTCATTAAGCAGAGCTAATAAATTCTGGTTATAATCCACGTATCATACAATTAGTGACCGGCAAAATCGTATTCCGCGTGCGGGAGTAACTTTAGAAAAGTTTGCGAGAGTAACTCCAGCAGGAATAATCTCGTACTTCCGCAAATTGCGGGATACCGCGCGGGATTGTAGGAACCTGAAACAAATACCTGAAATAGATATTACTTAACCTGAAATAAATATTATTCGAACCGTCTCATTCTGATCGGGGTTCGAATCGAAAAATCGTGAGAAAGCAAGCTCATATTTAAGGCGAAAATTCGAAAATACAAATTGGAATAGTCAATCATCGTGATCAGGGGTAGGCGAAAGAGACGATCTTTTAAAACTAGCCTTTCCAAGCTTAAAATCCATTCCACCAATTGTAAATACAACAGGTTCAAAATCTTTGTCACAAGGGATTAAAATCATCCCCTCGTATATTTCAATATCACCAATTGAATCGTAAATATGTTTAACTGCCGTCTTTGGGCCTGATATCAATGAAGAACCAGTGTCTGAGATTGCCTCTTTTGATTTGATGTCAATTAAATTTCCTCTATGGCTCAGGCTCTATAAATATGAACTTAATCTTACAAACATTTGTTTTAATAATTTAATTAAATTTACATCTAGCCTGAATCTCCAATAGATTGAATTATGAGCTTTTACCCAATGAACAGGAGAACCACAATGTTCGTTGTCGATCCCGCCAAATGTTATATCTTAATTAATTTTTATCAATTCAATTTATAGCTTAACTAATATCCCAAGTCTTTTAATTAATCTCTTACGCAGATTACCCTGACCAGTGGCATATCAAATTTTAAAAACGATCTTAAAATGGGTGTACGGAATTTTATCCGGAAGTTTGGTCACCAAGACCAAAGTTCCGAAAAATCAAGGTAACCAGACTTCCGGTGACCAAAATTCCTGTTCCTTTAAATTGAGGTGTATTGGTTGAGGTGCATTGGGTGATTTACCAACTAGGCTAATTAATCCTTTCTCACCTCCACCATATTCTCCATTTCCAGAATCCTTCGAGTTGTGCATATACACAGAAAAAATACTTTTATTAATTAATTTATTATGATATGCAGTGTATAGAGGAGATTCAAAGCCACAGAGATCATCACTTCTTGGAGGGCCCAATCCAAAAATTCCATCAATTTTGAGTTCAAACATAGAACCTCCAGATTGTGCATCTGAGGCTAGTCCAATTAGGGCAGTGGGCACAGTCAATATATTTGGGTCATCTTTCGAGCCGAACTGAAAAGCATACAGTTAACTTACTAAATAAAATTCCAGAAATTTTTTTAGTTAGTGGAAGGTTGTAGTTTCGGTTATTTTTGGATGTCATTTTCTACATGCCATTTAATAATTATTTCAGGTTTTGCGCTAAGATTCATACATCAGTCGACTAAGTATCGAAATTTTCAGTACATACAATTTTTGTTTAAAAATCTGAATACTGCCTCGACAACACATCATGAAGATATTTATTTTCGGACATCAAATAACACAAACTTTGCTAGCTTGGACCCCGAGTCCAGGCAAATTTTTGACTAAAACTTCGTAACTAAGACCCCTATATTCTCAACTCCGATGCGGCAATGTTGGGGCACCAATCCGTTTTATAAATACCAAAAGGTTTTTACATAAACCCCTTTGATTAGAGAAAATTGAATTTTAATATGATGAGAGTATCATACATAAATGTAAAGTTATGTTTGCCATCTAGACTTAATGGTCCAGATTTTTTAATTCAGATTTTTTAAATTTTTCAAAATTAATATTAAAAATGCCCAAAAACAATAATGCACCTTTAACCTATCAATACCCAAAAGTCCTTCACTAAAAGTCCCATCTGCATATTTACATTCAAATTCAGTATTTGTTGTTAAAAAGGTTGAAGATGAAGAACTATCAAATTTATTCACTAAAATGGAAATTTGGAACATAAAAATCTACACTTTACCTATATTAATACTATTTTCTTCACTATTTGATTGACAACAAGAAGAATCAAGAACCCAAAAAGAAGTTGAACCCGTGTCGATGACTACATTGAATTCTTGGCCTGGGGTGCCTGGAATGTTTTAGTATCTGAGTCAGGAAGGGATTTACATGTTTGAGAGTATCGTACGAGAATAGATACCTATTTTTAAAAATATAGAAAAATGTGAGAAATTTGGGGTTCCCGTACGAAAATTATAGAACCTAAAAGGAAAAGCTAGAAGGGAAAGCAATCAGAAGGGGATAAATAAAAGCAAGCATCTATATCAGAGTTGCGCCGGAAGTTCCAGTTCCGGTAGGACGGAATTTCAGGATTTTTTGGTTCCTGTTTGTTTGTATAGTTCCGGTTCCGGTCCTTCAGCTCCGGTTAAACCGGAACTTTTTAACACCCCTAAAGATTTGAATTTAGCGATTAATATTACGTTTTTAATTACATAGACAAAATACCAAATAATTAATTTTCATTTTGTATCGCACTTTCGTAATTGGTAATCACTTCGTGAAAAAAATATAATATTTTAAATAGGAATGTGAGGGATCGTACGGAAATTGATATACCAAAAAATATAGATCTCGATAAAGGAAATGGTCTTTGTCTTATCCCCAAATTTGTTTACTCGCCTATAGTAACTGTAGCGGTAAAAATAGTATTGTAGCTGTCAATAAGAGGAGTTTCATATTCTTTAGTCATCCTTTTAGTTAAAAATTTGTATTTTTGTTGAAATAAATTTTTGATTTTATTCATTGTTATCGCATGAATGGGGCTATTTTTCCTGTTTAATCGATGACGCTTATATGGCAATTTGAAAGAACCACCAGTGGTTGTTGTAGTTGAATAAATATCAGGAATTATTAAAAAATAAAGGGAAAATGGGACAAAAAGTTTAGAAAAAAATTTGAACATTTTTGAGCAAATGGGAAGTGAAAAAGGAAGAATTTGTTGTAGTTGAAAGTGAAATGAATGGAATGTTTTGAGTTTGGAAAAACTTTTCCTAAAATAAATTTTGAAAATTGTATTTAAATTAATTATACATATTATCTATAGAATTAGGAACTTAAAAATATGCAAATGCATGTCTTCTATGCGGATTAAGGTTAGCGGATAGTTGGAAATCTTCGATATCCGGATCCGAACCGAAAATTTCGGATATCCGGCCTTTATCGGATCCGGATTCTCCAGCCTTAATGCGGATATCACTTGATGGGTTATGGTTGTTGAAGGTCTCGTGTTGGTCCGGGAATTTTCGGACCCAGTTCACAATGCATATACCTATTTTTCTGTTCCATGATCCGGAAGATCCAGATTTAAAAAATAAGCTATGAATAAAATTTAATCTCGCTACATTTCGGGACCAAGATACCTTTAACCTTAACTTTAGCAATGTTTTACATTGCTTCCAAAAATATAAGAAATATAAATGCTACACCGATAAATTGAGCTGACCTCCCGCGACCAAGACTGATCTCTAACGACTCCTTTATACTAGGCTACCTAACAGTATCGTTTGACAGCTAGCTGGAATTTTTTTACCGCTCAATTTTCCGGCCGCCGAATGATAGTTTTAATTTTTGCTATTGCATTGCTTAGATACAAAAATAAAATTGCATCTCATGAAAGAAAATTTGCTTAATGAAATTTAGTATAATGTTAAATATAATGTTCTTATATGTAATATGTATAATGTTGAAGTATTTATAATAAATTTTAAGGAGATTATTGTTTATTTTATTATTAAATCATTAGTGCCATGATAGATATATTTGGACAAATTTATTAAAATATAATTTCAATGGAAGGAGAAATTGAGGACATGTATGAGAAAAAGTCTGAAAAAAATTTTAAATTTATGAATGACTAATGGAATTTATGTAAATATTTTTGTGGATAATAATACTCATTTATAAAATTTTTTTGGTGGAAAAATATTTCAAAACTTGGAAAAACTTTTTTTTTAATTCTTTCATAATGACCTTTGTTATTAAAAAAAGTTTTTATTAAATTTTTGAGTGAAGAAATAAGCAAAATTTATTTTTATTTATTTAACTGCTATCTAAACAATTTCAAATTTAAATTAATTTAAGTTTCATAGGGAAAGTGCAAATTGATTTTTTGCTTCAAAATCTATTGGGACTGGGCCATTAGGGCGCGAGCTTATAAAACAGTGAGTTGCTTATCAAAATTGATAAAATTTTGCGATAATAACTCTCATGCCTTTATCTACGTTCTCCAAAAATTTCAGAATTTTTGATAAAGAATTTCGGAAAATGTGGCCAAAAATGTTGATTTTCCGAAAAAACCCTCATTTTTCTCGGTTTATCGACTATAACTTCAGAAATATTATATGAAAAATTCTGAAATTTCTGGAGGAGATAGTCAATGATGTTAAAGAAATTTGAGAAAAATTTCATAAATTTCGTTTTCGCCTAAGTGTCAGTTTCTATTGCTGGCGCCCTAATGGCCCCGCGCCCTAATGACCCCAACCCAATCTATTAAATTTTTTTATTTTAATATTTTTAATAGAAATGAGAATCCTTGTTCTCAATGAATTTGTTTTATAAAAAATTAATATCCTTCTTAATTAATTTTTAATAGAATATTTTGTTTCACATAAATACTACTGTTGAATCTCGAACTGACTATAACATCAGGAACGAATTAGGCCGACATCTTATGTTGTGATATCGGATAGAAAGGAGCATTTTTGAGGAAAATTGCTTTATAATGAGAGTGTTACCGATTTCGAATTGAAGAATCGGCAAAATCGCCGCAACTCTTATATAACTAAATTATTCTCAAAATGTCCTGCTATTATTTTTAAATTACCGTATTTACTCGATTAATTCCCCTCCCTTGAATAATTCCCCCTCCTATGGATGAGTTGAAACAATAATCCCCCTCCCCCAAATACCCTAATATACGTTCAAATTTCAAAACTCGAATAATTCCCCTTCCTTGAATAATTCCCCATGCCACGGATGGGTTGAAAAAATAATACCCCAGTGGAATTAATCGAGTAAATACGGTAAAGCATTCAAGGTCATCAAAATTTGAAAGATAAATACATATAACTTATAATAAGATGCTTATGTTCTACACATACTGTTAGGGTGGCGCGCTTAGTATAAAAGGCGCAGCCTTTTAGTAGTCGTGTGTTAGTCTTGTGTGAGTCTTGAGTCAGTCCTTAGTCGCCAGTTAGTCTTAGTCTGTAGTCAAGCTATATACTACTCCAGCGCATAGTCTCGTCATTTCCATTGTATTGTTAACCGTGTGATAAACCTTTGTTAGTTAGTCGTTAGTCTTTCTGTTAGTATCGGACACACCGCAAGTCGATACATAACAGTGGCGCGGTCGCACAGTTAAACTCTTAATCGAGTAGTCAAAAAATCGAACAGGCAGACCCATAGTCAAAAGTCAGTTTGATTAGTCAAATAATTCAGTCGAAATGAATGATATGCTTGATAAATTGCTGCAGACACAACTGCAAATGCAAAGTCAATGGGATGAAATGATGAAAGGGAAAAAGTCAGTTGTAACCAAGTCTGAAGAGGAAAAGTCGACGGAACTGTATTGTAAGTTGAAGTCGTTGATTCCAGAGTTCCAGTCAGATATTGAAAAGGGAGTCACATTTGAGTCATGGTACGCTAAGAACAAGTCCTACTTTGAGGTAGACGCGCAGTCCTTAGCAGAGGAAGTCAGAGTCAGATTGTTAGTCGAAAAGTTGGGCCGAGGCGAGTATGCGAAGATGTCGCAGAAGATGTTGCCGGAAAAGTTAGAAGAGATGAACTTCGAAAGTCTAGTCGAGGTACTGAAAAAGGAGTTCAGTGACCCAAGATCGAAAATAGTCAAAAGATTCGAAGTCATGAAGATGAGATGCCCATCAGTAGAGAAAATTCTAGATTTCGGAACTCTAGTCAATGCAGAATGCGAGAAAGCGAATATGGACTTGACAGTCGAGGAATGCAAAATTCTAGTCTTTATAGCTGGCATTCCAGAAAAGGCGCTGGATGTAAGGCAGATAAGTCTGAGATTTGTAGAGAAGTACGCGAAGTCGGAAGTCTGCACGTTGAAGGCATTGATGGAGGAAGTTAGAGGTTATTTATCGAATAAGTCAGAGGCTAAAAGGTTCGAAAGTCAGTCAAGGGTCAAGAGTGGACCTAAAGAGTATGTTGAGATAAATAATGTTAGTCGGATCGAACATAGTCAGAGCAGACAGTTGAAACGGACAAGAATTAAGTCAAGGCAAAAAGAACGCCAAGTTGAATCACGTCAGTGTTATAATTGTGGAATAGTCGGACATATTAGTCGAGATTGTAAGAAACCAAAGAAAAGGTTTAAGAGAGTCGATAGTCCAGAAGTAAATCAAGTAGAAGTTGATTCTTCAGTCCCACATATTCTGACGATAGAAGTCCCGAAGTTGAACGAGAATAGTAGAAAGATTAGTCGGGAAAAGAATCGAAAGAGTAAAAAGTCGAATAGGCCGAAGAGTAGTCGTGTTACTCAAGGCTCGACAAAGTCAGGATTCTTAAAGAAGGAGAAGTCATCGGGAAATTCTAGTCGATTCAAAGAAGACGACGAAGTCTTAGTCATGAACAGGAGCAAAAATGGCAAGAAAGTATGGTTGCCTGGGACTATTCTGAGTAAATTCGTGGATGGATATAAAGTCAAAGTCCCAAGGCTGAGAGCCATAGTCAGTCGCGAAGAATGGCAAATTAGGCCAAAGTCATTGAAGTCAGATGAAAGCCGTAATCAAGGTTCGACACATGGTCAACCTCGCAGTCAATTGGAGTCTAGTTCCAATTTGAAGGAAGCACCAGCAACAACGGCAACACAGAACGCGACGAGGCCAAAAGATGAGCCAACAAGGGAGCACTGTGACGAGCGACGATAGAAGTAGAGGGGAGATGTAAGTAGGAAGTAAATAAATTGTGATAATATTGTTGTTGTAAATTTTTTGTTTGTAATTATTGTATCTCCCCTTTTGTTGCTCACTTTGTATTTTGGCCCCTTTGTATTTTTCGCTGTATTGTTTGTGTTGGAGTGTAGTAGTTTAAGTCCACCAAGTCTAGTTGGAAAATGTCGGCACATATGTAGTCCCGACTTAATTAAAGAAGGGAGGTGTTAGGGTGGCGCGCTTAGTATAAAAGGCGCAGCCTTTTAGTAGTCGTGTGTTAGTCTTGTGTGAGTCTTGAGTCAGTCCTTAGTCGCCAGTTAGTCTTAGTCTGTAGTCAAGCTATATACTACTCCAGCGCATAGTCTCGTCATTTCCATTGTATTGTTAACCGTGTGATAAACCTTTGTTAGTTAGTCGTTAGTCTTTCTGTTAGTATCGGACACACCGCAAGTCGATACATAACAGTGGCGCGGTCGCACAGTTAAACTCTTAATCGAGTAGTCAAAAAATCGAACAGGCAGACCCATAGTCAAAAGTCAGTTTGATTAGTCAAATAATTCAGTCGAAATGAATGATATGCTTGATAAATTGCTGCAGACACAACTGCAAATGCAAAGTCAATGGGATGAAATGATGAAAGGGAAAAAGTCAGTTGTAACCAAGTCTGAAGAGGAAAAGTCGACGGAACTGTATTGTAAGTTGAAGTCGTTGATTCCAGAGTTCCAGTCAGATATTGAAAAGGGAGTCACATTTGAGTCATGGTACGCTAAGAACAAGTCCTACTTTGAGGTAGACGCGCAGTCCTTAGCAGAGGAAGTCAGAGTCAGATTGTTAGTCGAAAAGTTGGGCCGAGGCGAGTATGCGAAGATGTCGCAGAAGATGTTGCCGGAAAAGTTAGAAGAGATGAACTTCGAAAGTCTAGTCGAGGTACTGAAAAAGGAGTTCAGTGACCCAAGATCGAAAATAGTCAAAAGATTCGAAGTCATGAAGATGAGATGCCCATCAGTAGAGAAAATTCTAGATTTCGGAACTCTAGTCAATGCAGAATGCGAGAAAGCGAATATGGACTTGACAGTCGAGGAATGCAAAATTCTAGTCTTTATAGCTGGCATTCCAGAAAAGGCGCTGGATGTAAGGCAGATAAGTCTGAGATTTGTAGAGAAGTACGCGAAGTCGGAAGTCTGCACGTTGAAGGCATTGATGGAGGAAGTTAGAGGTTATTTATCGAATAAGTCAGAGGCTAAAAGGTTCGAAAGTCAGTCAAGGGTCAAGAGTGGACCTAAAGAGTATGTTGAGATAAATAATGTTAGTCGGATCGAACATAGTCAGAGCAGACAGTTGAAACGGACAAGAATTAAGTCAAGGCAAAAAGAACGCCAAGTTGAATCACGTCAGTGTTATAATTGTGGAATAGTCGGACATATTAGTCGAGATTGTAAGAAACCAAAGAAAAGGTTTAAGAGAGTCGATAGTCCAGAAGTAAATCAAGTAGAAGTTGATTCTTCAGTCCCACATATTCTGACGATAGAAGTCCCGAAGTTGAACGAGAATAGTAGAAAGATTAGTCGGGAAAAGAATCGAAAGAGTAAAAAGTCGAATAGGCCGAAGAGTAGTCGTGTTACTCAAGGCTCGACAAAGTCAGGATTCTTAAAGAAGGAGAAGTCATCGGGAAATTCTAGTCGATTCAAAGAAGACGACGAAGTCTTAGTCATGAACAGGAGCAAAAATGGCAAGAAAGTATGGTTGCCTGGGACTATTCTGAGTAAATTCGTGGATGGATATAAAGTCAAAGTCCCAAGGCTGAGAGCCATAGTCAGTCGCGAAGAATGGCAAATTAGGCCAAAGTCATTGAAGTCAGATGAAAGCCGTAATCAAGGTTCGACACATGGTCAACCTCGCAGTCAATTGGAGTCTAGTTCCAATTTGAAGGAAGCACCAGCAACAACGGCAACACAGAACGCGACGAGGCCAAAAGATGAGCCAACAAGGGAGCACTGTGACGAGCGACGATAGAAGTAGAGGGGAGATGTAAGTAGGAAGTAAATAAATTGTGATAATATTGTTGTTGTAAATTTTTTGTTTGTAATTATTGTATCTCCCCTTTTGTTGCTCACTTTGTATTTTGGCCCCTTTGTATTTTTCGCTGTATTGTTTGTGTTGGAGTGTAGTAGTTTAAGTCCACCAAGTCTAGTTGGAAAATGTCGGCACATATGTAGTCCCGACTTAATTAAAGAAGGGAGGTGTTAGGGTGGCGCGCTTAGTATAAAAGGCGCAGCCTTTTAGTAGTCGTGTGTTAGTCTTGTGTGAGTCTTGAGTCAGTCCTTAGTCGCCAGTTAGTCTTAGTCTGTAGTCAAGCTATATACTACTCCAGCGCATAGTCTCGTCATTTCCATTGTATTGTTAACCGTGTGATAAACCTTTGTTAGTTAGTCGTTAGTCTTTCTGTTAGTATCGGACACACCGCAAGTCGATACATAACACATACTTATAGTGCTCCTCTTATCCATTGATCAAACAAAAGTTAAGTCCCAAATTGTGTTTAACAATCTATTTTTTAATTTTAGAATTTCTTGATAAAATTAAAAAAAAATTTGCCAAAATATAATAAAAATGTTTAATGAAGATTTTTATTTTTACAACTTTCATTTTTTATTTTAAATGGAACAAAAAATATTTGTAAAAAATAAATATTAGACTATCGGATAAAAGCTCCAGACTTTTGATATTAATTCTGTGTACTTCCACACACATTATTCCGTTTCTTTCATTTTGGCAAAATTATTGACCTCTCATCATGATATTTTGTAATAAAGAGGGATGATATGGGAAAGACATTTATTAATAAATAAGCCCTCTTAGTAAAACAAAATAATTCCTATATATTTATTGAAAAAGTCATTTATACGTCAATGTGTATACGTTATAAATAGGTTGGCATTTTCTTAAATTAAGGTCATTTTTCATACTTTTCCTGCAAACCTGTGGAATAAATTCTCTGCAAACGATTCTTTTTTGAATAAATAGAAAAATATTGGGTTGTCATCCTGTTAGCTTTCCTAATCAAGGTTGTAATTGCTTAACCCTTCTTTAATTAGGGTTTCTTATTCTTGGGAACTGCCTTGTACCGCGAGCCTAACCTACCGCCGATGCTATAAAATACTTCAAATTTGTCGAATCAGGGTTCCCTGGTATTGTTGGATGCAACCAAACGAGCTGAATCAACCATACAAGTGTCCCGGATTCGATAATTTTGAACGAGGTTATAGCTCGGCGGTCCTTGGCCTCGCGGTACATTGGGGGATAGTGTACCCTTAATTCTTTATTTAGGGTTTTACTTTGTTTATGTTTGTAAACATATCAAAATATCCATAGTTTTTTTTAAATTCCAACAGAAATGGATAGTCTAAGTGAGGAAACAATAATTTTTTTAGAAATGATCGATCTAGAGGGTGAGGGGCAAAACTTCGAATGACAAAACTCAGTCCAGACAAAACTTCAACAGACAAAACTCTGTTTACCAAAACTTTGTCCAGCAAAACTCCGACATACAAAAACTTAGTCCAAAGAAAAAAAAATGCATTTTAAATTGTTTGGGTCTTTTAGGTTTCGAGGAATAGGAGGGTTCGTTTTCAGGAATTCGAGGAATAGGGGGGGGGTCTTACGTACCGTTACCGAAAAAATCAATCTAAAGAACACTAGGGGGAACAACATCTCTCGTTGTAAAAAACAAGCAACATTCATAGCGCCAAAATAACCGTTAAAAATGCATTTTTTTCTTTTTGGACGAAGTTATATGGTCGGACAAAGTTTTGGTAAAAAAGTTGTCTACAGAGTTTTGTCGTTCAAGGTTTTGTCTGGTCGAAGTTTTGCCCTGACGAGGATATGAAGAGAACGACATTTGAGCGATGATTAGTTGGAATTATTATAAATAAAAGTAAATTTAAGTGTTAATAAAAAAATTCGGTGTCTTAAAATAATTATTCAACAGAATCCATAATATTATGACAATATTAGAAAAACAACAAACACTGCTTTTATCTGATAAGATAAAAGCAATTAATAAGGCATTACCTTATGAATTAATTGTCGACATATTTGATGGAATAACTGTTGAGGTATGTTAAAAAATTTTAAAATAAAATTTGATTAAAAACAAAACAAGTTAATTCTTACTAATCTGCACATAGAAGTGAAAACATGAGACTGGGCCATTAGGGCGCGGGGCCATTAGGGCGCGAGCTTATAAAACCGTGATTTGCTTATCAAAAAAGATAAAATTTTGCAATAATAACTCTCATGCCTTTATCTACGTTCTCCAAAAATTTCAGAATTTTTGATCAAGAATTTCGAAAATTGTGGCCAAAAATGTTGATTTTCCGAAAAAACCCTAATTTTTCGCGGTTTATCGACTATAACTTCAGAAATATTAGATGAAAAATTCTGAAATTTCTGGAGGAGGTAGTCAATGATGTTATAGAAATTTGAGAAAATTTTCATAAATTTCGGTTTCGCCTAAGTGTCAGTTTCTAGTGCTGGCGCCCTAATGGCCCCGCGCCCTTATGACCCCAACCCAAACATAACTCTTTAATTCTACATAATTCTTAAACATAATTCTTGAATTTATTTAAATACTCAGTTTTTTAAATTAAAAATCATTTACAAAATTCATCCTTCTCTATATTATTTTTTACTTAAGAAAATGTTATATTTCTGGTCGCAAAATTAAAAAAATAAATATTTAAAAAATTAAAAAATGAAAAAAATTTTTCAAATAAATTTTATAAATTATGTAATTGTTGAGTACTTCGGCTGACGTTGCTCGTACTCGTACTTCGTACCACCTCTTTTTTTGGCCTCGTACCACCCCTATTTTTTTGCTCGTACTCGTACTTCGTACCACCCCTATTTTTAGCCTCGTACCTCGTACTTACTCATACTTGAGAAAAAAGCAAAAAATCGAAAATTTTTATGATTTTTTGGAGTCAAGGACATTTAGTTTTAAATTTTAAGCGTTTGTGCGATAATTTTTGAATCTTGGAAGGCTTTGAAGACATAAATCCTCGCATATAATCCATTTTCTGCGCCGCATGCAAAATTTTTGAGCATTTTGGAGTACAAGGAGCAATATTTGCTCCAAGAGGTTACCCGAAACCCGGTATTTTTTCATCCGTTTTTCATTCTCTTTCATGGAACTTATACCTTTTTCACCAAACTTTTCATATTTTTATCTCCTGATATCCTCTTAATCTTATTCTCTTTCTGCGCCGCAGGCAAAAATTTGTAGATGTCCTTGAGTCAGATTTCTTCCATTTTTTGCGCCGAAGGCGCAAATTTTCAAAAATTTTGAAGGCCGTAGGCTTTGGAAGGCCGTAGGAGAAAAAAATTCACTTTTTAGTGTTCAAAGTAAAAATATTTTAAAAATTTTAGAGGGTCAAAATCTAATACATAATTACTCCATGTAAAAACAGAATAATTTTTAAAACAAAATTTAACTTATAAAATAAGTTATTTATGAAAAAATATTAAAAATCATTGGCAATTGAATAGGAATCGCACCCAATATGACGTCATTACAGACTTTGGCGCAGCCAAGCACCTTCAACACTTAGACACTCGATTATATAATTATGGATGAAAGGAATTAAATAGTATATTTCTTTCAATTTTCCTATTAACACCAGGTACGAGAAGTACGAGCTCTTACTTAGGCCTCGTACTTTTCACTTTTTTTTGCTCGTACTTGTACTTCGTACCAGGTACGAGTACGAGGTACGAGTACGAATTTGGGTACGAGCTTCGAAGCACTGTTCCTAACTATTACCATTTGGTTTAATCCATTGCAATAGCACAAAAAGCATGTCCACCGAGGATTTAGCTTCATAAGTTTGTTCACGATTGCCGCCGAAGTATTAGCGATCAAGCCTCCCTGCTGATTTCGAATTATTATGAAAACTTGTCATATTAAATTAACTTAAGAATTAACTGAATTATTAATGATTTATTAAATTTTTATTTATATAAATTTGTTTAAAAATCGGTCTTTTGAGTAAAATTTAGAAAAATTAACTAAAACAGATTATTTAAAATTCAGGCATTCTGGAGCAATTTTTATCCTTCTTATATAAGGGATAAATTTTCGCCAGATTCTAAAGGTAAAATGGTAAAAGAACATAACACGGCTACCAAAGGACCATTTGAAAAGTGGAGTGAATGTATTAAAAATTGGCTATGCTCATCCGCAATAGTTTACAATTTTGAACAGGAAACATTCAAAAAAAGACACGTAAAATTAATAAATTATAAAAGAATTAATATATTCACTAGGGGGAGAAGGTATATATCGAAATTTGAGGTTCGATTCATACTTGAAATAAAATTTCCATAATTTTATAGTTCAATCGCTATTTAGCTTGCCAAAAGTCTGGAGATAGGGCCGTCGTCCTTGCCCCGCCTAGTATCAATTATCCCAATGAACATTATTACGAAGTCAAAAAATCAGATGGAAAGATGATTACGGGATTAATTCCGTGGGATCCTGTTCCATTCGACATTTTTGAACTAAATTTGAAATCTAATATCTCCGTTATTTTCTAACAGATTTTGATTTTGTCTTTCAATTTGTTTGGATATAATATAAAAAATCATTTGAAAAAAAAAATTAGAAAAATTCAAGCATTTTTCATAAAATTTAAGCATTAACAATTTTAGGGTTTTATTCAAACAACTCTAAAAAAAGCAGGACAGGTTTATTTTTCAATTAACGGCTCATTCGATTCGTTTCGACGAGCTGATTCGCCTGACACCAAAATCGACTCGATTCGAAGATTCTGAATTGATTTTGCGCTATATTGAGGTGAAGTCGGAAACTAATCATGGAGATTTTGGTATCATTCGACTCATCTCGATGACTCTTTCGAATGAGCTATCATTTGTATATTCTAATTTTTGACCCCAAAAGTCAGCTTGGTCCCTCTGAGGGGGTTTCAACTTTCAGGAGTCTTTAACTCGGTCCCATAAAATCGGATCAGCTTCTTCCACCCTTTTTTGAAAAAATTCCCATGCGATTTTTCCACACTCTAGTGTTCTTGCTCAGAAATTTTAGCTAAATTTAAATAAATGCTTTTTGGCGCAATTTAAGGAAAAAAAATATGGCGCCAAGAATAATTGACATTTAATCCCATTTATGTAATTGTTTCATTTTTCTATAAACATTATTTATTATGATTTCTAGTTATGATATTGGACACAACCGGCTATTAACAATACCCCGGTTTCGGCTAATCCAATTCTAAAATACACGGTTTTAGACAAATACCCGTTTCATTTTGGAGGTTTTTTCTAAAAATTCTGGTTTTGAATCCCCTGTCGTGTCCGCCCTTACTAGTTATTTATATAAATTTTCTAAATTTTCCAAATAACGAATCCTTTAGCTTTTTAATTTAATTTCAGTGAAATACAAAAATATAAAAACTTTTTATAAGAAAGATCAAATGTCCAATCAAGAATTATTACAAACTGCCAAGGAACAAGCCGGAAATCTTTTACAGTCAATTGTCGGTTTGGAAGAAATGGTTAAATTAAAAGATGAGGAACTTGCCAAACGTGATGAGAAACTCATTTTGAAAGATGAAAGAATTGCAAAATTGGAAAAACATATTTTGTTGAGTAGTCCAGCGGTTAGTTTTATTTAGATTTTTAGATAGAAAGCTGAGTTTATAAATCGACTTAAGTGTGCAGAATGCTCTTGAGCATTTTCGGGATCTCCGGAGTCGAAAAATTAATCTTTGAGTTAATCTTCAACTTTTTGGGGGAGAAATCGAAAATGCCTAGCTTTTAGAATCGCTTGCTTAGCCATGACGAACAACTTAATCAGCGAGTTAGGATGATATTGAGCAAAGTTATGACCACTAGTCTTGACTCACTACCACTCTTAGATGTGGTTCCCGTTGGGAAATTTTGCAGCTCCGTGAAACGAACAACAACCGCAGCTCCCCCACACCCACCCACACCAGGCATGGCCGTAGTGTTGTCTCAGGAAAATTTTGCACACATTATTGAAATTTATAAACTCAGCGCATTAATTCTGTTCGTAGGAAGATATCAGATGTCCAGTTATTAAAAAATTCTTATAGTCTCACCGAACATTTTCTTTTGGTTTTTTTGCCAAAATAAAAAAAAATTTCCCATCCCTACAGTCCCATTTAACCATAAAACAACTTATTAGATATCTAGTAATGAAAAATAATTTTTCCGTAATGAAAAATAATTAGATATCTAGTAATGAAAAATAATTTCTAGTAATGAAAAAAATTTTCCTTAACATTGACCCGTTTTTCCGTTTCAGAAATTTGTTTGCAATGAAAACTCGTTTTTCAATGCTGAATTTAATCAAGCTCTTTATTATGCTGGTCAACCATTCAAAAAAATTACTGGTAATTATTTTGGAGTTCAATATTTCGAAGTGACGTTGCAGGATATTAGCAAGTTTGTTTAAATTTATTTATCATATCTGTATGGACTATAGTGGAAAATTCCGGACTTTTTGCGGAATTGAATAGTTGATTTTTTTATAAAAATTTAAACAGGATTTGTCCGCAAAAACAATTTTGTCCGCAATTTTAATTTTTTTCAACGGGTCTACCAAACTAGCAATTTGTTTTCAACTTGTTATTTATAGAGTTGGCCGGGATCGGGATCCCGGTGGGGATCGGGCGGGATTATCCCGGGTTTTTTGAATCTTGATTTTTCTGATCCCGAGACCGAAAGACAAATCCCGATCCCGTGTCGGGATCATTATTCCAAAATTCCGATTTTTTGTGAAAATCCCGATCATGGCCAACTCATGTTATTTATTTAAAAATTAATTTAAATATAATTTTAGGCTTGAATCTATTGGACTTATTAAATATTACTTCATGGAGATTCAAATGTTCAAATCAAACGAAAATGAAGTTAAAATTAAATACATCAAAAATACTGAGGAGGAAGAATTTACTTATCCTTTTGCTCCGTCCAATTTGTTTATTGCTGGTTGTGGTATGGTAACTTCTCCAACAAACGATTTATTTGACAAACCGAAGACTTTTGTTTTTTTTACTTTGAATGGACATTTTATTGGTATTTTTTAATTACTATTATATAAATATTGGCACTATCTGGAAGGAATACTGTCATCCAATTTTTTTTCACTTTTTAGGATGGGAAAAAACAGTTAATTTTCCTATTTTATTTTAGTATGATTTTCCGTAAGGGTAGACTTTAGGATTGATTGACTCTGACAAGGCCTAAGGTGCGAGCCGAAAGTATTAGGGATCGGCCTGGGTCTTGACCAAGGCCAGGGTTTTTTCTGTACTAAGAGTACAGAAGAATCCCAGGCATTTTTTGACCTTGCTGGGACTCTCAAGACATTAAATAACATTAACACCTTACAGAAAACACCTTAAATTAATACCTCACGGAAAAATCAAATACCAGTGAAAAAATTGAGCATTCCAAGTAAATCCGAGGATTTAAGAATAAAATGGATGCCGGTCCATGCATATAATATCTTAATGATTTTTAGGAAGAGCAATTTGTTTCGAAGAGGAGGTTGAAGAATTAACTCCAACATTTACGTTGTCTGAGGGGAATGCTGACGTTAAAACTAATTTTGGGGAGAAGGCGTTTGTTTACAAATTGGATACCAATTTTGTTGAAACTCTTTTAAATTTTGAATGAGATTTGGCTAATTAATGAATCAAATCGATTGGGCTCGAATTAAATTTGAATTTTTGTTGCTCTAAAAGCTATTTAATTTTATATTTAAACACAAGTTAATTTTAATTGATTCTGAAAAAATAAAACTGTTTTTTGTGTAATTTTTCTAATGATTAGCTAGATTTTATAGGATAAGAATCTTTTTTTTTCCAGTTAAGTCCAATTATCCTCATGTTAATAATTTTGAGACTATTTACGAGTAGCAAAATTTTTTTTAAATATTTTTTCAAGAAATATTTTTGGAAATTTTTTTAACATTAAAAACATTATTTTAAAATTTCCTAAGAATAAAACCGTTATTTAACTAGAAATTTAAAAATAACTTAAAATATACAGCCATATAAATAATAAATCTGCCAAGAGATTATAGATTGAGTTTAATAAAAATACGAAAATATTTTTTAAATAAATTTTAAGAATAATGTCTGAAATTAGAAATTATCGTATTTTTCCTAATAGTGCGACTCTTCCTACTAGACCGACCCCTTCTAATAAACCGACCCCCTAGAGGGAGTATACGGTATTTTTGTTTATTTTCTAATTCCAATTTAAGTTGAATTTTTGGTCAATAGTTAGCTAATAATGTAAAATTTCTCTTTTTTCGGATAAAAAATATTTTTGTTTACTTCTAATTGCAAATTCTTCAAAGTGATTAGAAGACGAAATAAGGTTAAAAATTAATGAAGGCATTTTATGCCGACTATCCAGATTGTACCTATAATGAAAGTCTTAAATCGGCAATAATGTTTAGGCAGCTCTACCCATCAAATTAAAAAACGCACAGATCGAGAGTTTTCAATAGGAATGCGTACTATGTAGATAACCGAGATTTTTGTTCTGCACCGGTAACATACACCTTTTCTTACCAATTTTCAGCCTTGAACATAAAAACGTTTTTCTAGTGAAAAAGAAGTTTTTTCAAAAACTTTTTTAATTGCCCAGTTTTTTTAATTCCATTTCGACCCCAAATATTGTCTCCTAAATAATCGCAACCCTCGGGTCCTCGAAAGTCTGATCCTCAAATGTCGCGCCACGGATCATGCTAGGGGTATAAAAAAATTAGTTAAAGACTTCGTTTTCTCTCTTTTTTCATTCATTATCAATGGAAATATTTATAAAAAATTTGTAATTTTTTTCATCTTGTTTTGGAACCAAAAAATTTTTTTCTACAAGCGGCATAAACTTTTGCTCCCCTAAAATGTGAGGTAAATAAGTTATGACTAGAGCGTGTCATTTTAGGTTTTTACCTATTTTTTTTGCGATCAGCCCATGATGAGATAAGTCGAAAAAACACTGTTTTAGCGCGGGAGGTTGCGTACTTTTTGAGTTACTAGAGCCTAAAAAACCTAATTCGGCCTTTTCGGACCTAAAACCTATTATTAGCCTATTTCGACCTTTTTTGGACCTATTTTAGGTTTTTTGGAAAAATCGCCATTTTTGACAAATTTGGCATAGTGTAAAAAGAAATAGTGTGTGTTAGAATGATAAATTATTTGGTTAGAATTTTCCAATATTTTATTTTAAAAATTTGGGCCTATTTTAAGCTTAAAATTTTTATAGACAATGGGAAAAGTAAAAAATGTAAGATCTGCTTTAATTAAAGAATGGATATCTTCGTTTCCGAAGGATACATATTCCAGCAATGGCAAAATAGTCTATTGTCAGAAATGTAAACAACAGGTTTTATCTATTTTTATAACGTTTTTATTGTTAAATTTAGATTCCATGTGACAGGCTTCCACATCTTAAGCAGCACCATGAGTCGTCAAAACATCAAACCAATTCATCTTTACAGGGCCGTGGCAAACAACCTTTTATTGATATAACGTTAGGGGAAATAGAACTAGATCCATTTGCGGAAGATTTATGCGATGCCCTTGTAGCAGCAAATATTCCATTGAAAAAAATGGATAATCCTTCCTTTCGTCATTTCTTAGAAAAATACTGCAAGAGGAATATTCCGTCTGAGGCAACAATAAGAAGGCAGTTAAAAACCTGCTACGATGCGGTTTATTTAAATAAGTTTTTTAACATTTTAATTTAGACAATAAGCCGTATTAAGAAAAAGCTCAGCAATGGCTATTGTTGGGTCTCAGTGGATGAATCTACAGATATGTGCGGTCATTCAGTAGCAAACTTGCTTGTGGGCCGACTTGATCCTGAAAATTTTTTTGCTCCTCACTTGGTTTCGGTAAAATTCTTAGAAAAAACAAACCACGCAACAATTTCACGATTTGTACTGGATGGTCTCAGTGAGAATTTTTTAAAATATTCATTTTAAAAGCATAATTCAGGGGAACCCACATCACCCCTAGCCAATGATAATTTTTCTAAAAAATAATTACTCCCGATAAAATACTGGGCTACCTTTGATGTCTGCTAAAATATCGAACACACGCAACAACGTCAGGCCTTGGCTTTCTAGTTCTTTAATAGAAGTAGAAATTATCGAAAAATTTGATTTAATATATGCTAATTGTTGTGAAACGTTAATATTCTTAAATATTTCCTTTGATTTACGTATGCAAGCCGCTTCTTCAGAATCAAAGGATTCGATAACCTAAACAGTATATATGCACAAGTGAGCGAAAATTAGAAACCTCTTTTATCGCTTGAAAATTATCAGCATAAAAACTAGCGGCATTAAGCCAAGTACACCAGCGAGTTAATATCGGTTGTGGCGGTAGACCAAGCCACGGCAGCATTTCTTTGTATTGTCGAATACGTGAAGGAGCTTTTGTAAATACCTGAATGAGTGCTTTAGTCAATTTATAGAATCAATTATACCTTTTTTACATTTGAGATTAGAAGGTCTACTTCAGGAAATGACGCTCTAACCTCTTCTGCCACTCTATTAAGGCCATGGCAGATACAGATTGTATGAGACATATTTGGCAGCAATGCAGAGAGAACATCACGCGCAGATTTAGTCATGTAGCTGGCTCCATCCGTTACTAGATGTAGAACACACTCCTCTTTAACACCAATTTCCCCTGAATTATGCTTTTAAAATGAATATTTTAAAAAATTCTCACTGAGACCATCCAGTACAAATCGTGAAATTGTTGCGTGGTTTGTTTTTTCTAAGAATTTTACCGAAACCAAGTGAGGAGCAAAAAAATTTTCAGGATCAAGTCGGCCCACAAGCAAGTTTGCTACTGAATGACCGCACATATCTGTAGATTCATCCACTGAGACCCAACAATAGCCATTGCTGAGCTTTTTCTTAATACGGCTTATTGTCTAAATTAAAATGTTAAAAAACTTATTTAAATAAACCGCATCGTAGCAGGTTTTTAACTGCCTTCTTATTGTTGCCTCAGACGGAATATTCCTCTTGCAGTATTTTTCTAAGAAATGACGAAAGGAAGGATTATCCATTTTTTTCAATGGAATATTTGCTGCTACAAGGGCATCGCATAAATCTTCCGCAAATGGATCTAGTTCTATTTCCCCTAACGTTATATCAATAAAAGGTTGTTTGCCACGGCCCTGTAAAGATGAATTGGTTTGATGTTTTGACGACTCATGGTGCTGCTTAAGATGTGAAAGCCTGTCACATGGAATCTAAATTTAACAATAAAAACGTTATAAAAATAGATAAAACCTGTTGTTTACATTTCTGACAATAGACTATTTTGCCATTGCTGGAATATGTATCCTTCGGAAACGAAGATATCCATTCTTTAATTAAAGCAGATCTTACATTTTTTACTTTTCCCATTGTCTATAAAAATTTTAAGCTTAAAATAGGCCCAAATTTTTAAAATAAAATATTGGAAAATTCTAACCAAATAATTTATCATTCTAACACACACTATTTCTTTTTACACTATGCCAAATTTGTCAAAAATGGCGATTTTTCCAAAAAACCTAAAATAGGTCCAAAAAAGGTCGAAATAGGCTAATAATAGGTTTTAGGTCCGAAAAGGCCGAATTAGGTTTTTTAGGCTCTAGTAACTCAAAAAGTACGCAACCTCCCGCGCTAAAACAGTGTTTTTTCGACTTATCTCATCATGGGCTGATCGCAAAAAAAATAGGTAAAAACCTAAAATGACACGCTCTAGTTATGACCGAATAAATTTTGAATAACGTAGTTAGTAAAAAAATTTTTTTATGGCCACGGATCATGCTAGGGGTATAAAAAATTAGTGGCTTTATTATTATTTTACAAGCAAAAATACAAAAAAAATTAAATAAAAAATTCAAATTTTTATGTGATAATGGGTAAATTAACTCCGCTTTTTATTTTTATTTTTTTGGAAATTGGGAGAAAGAAATATCTAATTTACATATTTTGATCATTTTTTTACTACTACTTTAAACATATTTTTTACATTAAATAGGGAGATGTTTAGCTGGTAATTTGTTTTCATTCATTTAAGAATGGTTTATTCAGATAGCTATTTTATTGTTTAACCTTTTATTTTTATTCAATCAATTTTTAGATTTTTTAATTTTGCAATTTGGTGATTTTTTAAAAATTAAATGGAGTCAAATACACTTAGACGAATCCTTAAAGTTAGTTTATGAAATATGCAGTTGACTTTCGTTATAATTGTATCCAAAGTAGGAGAGGCGTATCTCGATATCCGAATCACGAAAAGCGTTCGGATATCGAAAATTCTAGGTTCGGATATCTAATCCGGATACTCAGGAAGTTCCCAATATCTGTCAACCTGATCTAAAGTGATCATTCAAAATCATTTCATGAATGATTTTCCGATCACTTTGTCAAAATCATTATAAAAATCATTTCAACATAGGTTTATTTTTTACATTTTCGTCCATCTTGGATGGGATAATAGTCGTAAAAGAAAAAAATGTATATCGATGATACTATAACAAGAGTCAACTGTTTTAACCTCCTAATACCACCTTTTATCAGTTAATCACTTTTTAGGATCTTTCGGACATCGAACTTGATCCTCCAGATTTTTGTAGTGCACGCCCAATTAATGATGAAGATCCTTATCATTGGCGAGGGACTATAATTGGACCACCAGGCTCTCCTTATGAAGGAGGAGTTTTCTTTCTATTCATCACGTTTCCACATGACTACCCGTTTAGACCACCATTAGTTTCATTTAAAACACGGATATATCATCCAAACATTAACAGTCGAGGAAGCATATGCTTGGATATACTCAGAGAACAATGGTCGCCGGCTTTGAGTATATCGAAAGGTCCTATAATTTTTATAATTAAAATAAAACTGTTGTATGAGTAATTGAGATCAAATCTTTCAATTTGAGTCAGATTCCCGAATTACAGTGGTTTACAAAACCTGGGAGCCCATTACTGCGAGCCCACTTTAATTAGATAACACAACTATCTCCAATAATTATTAAATCCTAAAATTTTGAATAAGAAAAAATCGCGAACTAAATGGGCTACGATATTAAGTCGAGGAACTAGGCGACATTCATCCTCTAATTTTTAGTTTAGTTTGATTATATTAAAATTACTTTCTTAAATTTACTCCTCAACTCTTTCGGAATTTCAACTTGAATGATTAAATAAAAAATTTCATAAAATTATTTTTAGTTCTCCTTTCCATCTGCTCGTTTTTATGCGATCCAAATCCTGACAGTCCACTTGTGCCAAGCATTGCTGAACTTTATATGAATGACAGAGAGCAGTATAATACAAATGTTCGCATATGGACACAAATGTATGCTATGTGAATTTAATAATTTATTTCAATGAGATGAAGATTTAAAATGAAATAATTTTGAAGTAAATTTTCAACGAGATTTTTTTTAATATATCTAAATTAAATTTTACGAAAAATTCATATACTTTTGATTAATTTTGGCTTTTGTCCAGATTACGCGTCCAATCGTACCCTAATTCAATAAATCTTTACGCGTCCAATTAAATGTTTATGCGTCCAATCAAGGCTATAAGTACCCGGTTCTGCAATTAGTACCATAAAATCCATGGAAATAGGTAGAAGCTCTATTCACCGAGAGTTAGTTACACACAAAAAACGAATTCTTATTGTTTTAGGTTGTACGTAAGAAAATGTGATTGGACACAAAAAAATTTTTTGGATGCATAAATAATTTTTAATATATTTATTTTTAATATGTGCATTAAAATATTTTAAGAATCCCATATTTCCTAAAAATAGAGCCCCAACTTTAAATATTTTCAGCCCTCCCTGTAAATACATAAGTTGTGAGTCTATTCATTTGTTGTTGTTCGAGTTATAGTAAGGTTTGAAGTTAGTGATTTTGATAGAATGTTCCCTTAAACAACTTAGTTTTTGTTCAAAAGACTTTCGTCTTCAAGATATAAAATCAGGTTCTTAGCCTATTTTCAAATATGTGTACGTATTTTGTACATTTTTAAATTTAGTTTGGAAAAAATTAAATCTATTAAAATCGTGTCCGGAAATTTGGGGAGTGGACACTTGGGGAGTGGACATTTGGGGAGTGGATAAATGGGGAGTGAGCGGACAATTGGGGAGTGGACATTTGGGGAGTAGCCTAACGATAAAAATACGATAGAATATTTAATAGTTTTTATTGCTTTTGTATTTAAAAAAATAAATTAGGAATCTTTCGAATGGCTATTATATGTTTTTTCGAAATTTTGACTCTAAAATCCCACCATTGGTATTTGACCATTTAGAGTCATATATCTTGACTCAAACTTGTTTAATCAAGCTAATTTTAGTGTCATTCGACTCAGATCGAAAGCTTTTTCAAATGAGCTATTATTTGCATATTCGAATTTTTTACCCCAAAATCGAGCTTACCCCCTCCCTCCTATGGTTTTTCAATTTTTCAACCTATAACTTGGTTCAGAATCATTTACTGAAATAGGGAATTGGATTTTTTTCGAAAATTGGAGTTCGACTCAGCTTGCCGAGACGAATCGAATGACATATTCCACGTCCCAAACTTTTATCTCCTGTGAACTTATGTATACATAAACATTTTTTTAAATACAAAAGCAAGAAAAACTATTTAGTATTCATTGTATTATTATCGTTATGCTACTCCCCAAATGTCCACTCCCCAATTGTCCGCTCACTCCCCATTTATCTACTCCCCTAATGTCCACTCCCCAAGTGTCCACTCCCCAAATCTCCGGGAGCCATTAAAATTTACAAATAATCTGACTGCTTATTTTAATTTTTTGCTTTCAATAAATATTAATTTCGTTAACATTGTCTACAATTAATAAATTATAAAATTTCAATTTTGTATTTTAAATTAATTAATTATTCATTTATTTACTCGAAGGAGAATGTCAAAAAATTTAAACTGACCAAACTAACGGGTTTTCTAATTCGCCGAATTGTTGATCTCTCAAGAAAAAAAATTTTTTGGAGGGAGAGTTTCTTATTAAAATTAATTATATAATTAATTTTGTGTACAGTTATAAATATTTTTTACAAAAAAAATTAGAGCAAAAAATTTTGTTTATTAGAAAGAATTTTATTTTTCTCTCCGTTCTCTCAAAATCATTCTCAATTTATTTAAGAATTTATTCTCCATGATGAAATTAATTAATATTTTAATTTTATTTTTTGTTATTTTAAATTCCTTGGCTTTCGGAAGGTTTTTTATTTTTAATTTTAGAAAAAAATTTTTTGGAGTGTGTTTAAAAAAATTTATTAGGAGAGTCAAAATTTCAATGGAAAATTTAGTTTTAATCCAAAATCTTCCCACACGGATCCCCATTAGTGTGAGATATCGGATAAATATTCATAACCCCTACAAGCTCACAATATACACATCTCTCTCTCCGTCCAAATTCCCTTATATCTCCCTTAATCCCTACAAATCTACCGATATCCCCTCTGTCGACATTTTCCTTTTCCGAACCTTAACCCACGATCAATCCGCTATCTCGGCAAATCTGTCTCATATAAATAAAAATGAATGCTTTTAAATGTACATATAAAACCACCTTTAATATTCTTTAATTAAAACTTTTCAGTCCTTCTCTCAACTCAGTTCGTGTCAAACGTCAAGGCTGGGGAGGATGGGGATGGAATCCTCAAGTTCAAACAGATATGGATCGTCTTCGTATTGATAAAGACAAACTGCGATTAGATATGGACCGTTTAAGATTGGATCAAGATAGTTCTTGGGGATGGGGAAAATGAGAGAATTAAACGACTAATTTAATTATTAACGATTTTTAATTAACGATTTATAAATTAATAAATACTTGATTGATAAACAATTTAGATAATTTTAAAATAAATTTTATTAAATGATAAAATTAAATTGTCAGTTTAAATATTTGTGGTACAGAAGGACCTCGATTGCTCTAAATAGGCGTATCGCTTAGACATCTCCCACAAGCGTGTCAAAAATTGTTTAAATAAAACGTATTTTATAGTGAGTAATGTCTGGCTGTAATTTATTTTAATCATTGTTTATCATGTCAAACAAAATTTTCTTCGACGATCACATCTGTTACAACCTGTGCAAGGATCTCCCTTATGATAGACCAATTCATTTAAATAATTGCCACTAAATTATTTTTAAATACATATATTTTAGATATCAGGCTATGAGAGATTAATTCAAATATTTGATGAATTTGAATCCAAAAAATTTATTTTTTTTATAAATTAAATCCTTTGAGGAGATTAGTTTTTGAACCAAACCTTCATTTCTGTTAAGTCAGGGCCATGATCAAATATAAACTTACGGAGGATTGTATTGGCAAACAACATAAGTTTTCCATTCTGAATTAGGACAATATGCTCTAGCACACCCTAATTCCAAAGTTTTGGCCCATGCCATTTGCGACCAATGTCCAATTCCTTTACTAAATTGGCCATTATCGAGAACAAGACTTTGATCCATTCCATAATCAGCAAGTTCTGCCCACCAATCTTTGCATGCTTGTCTTAGTGCTGAGGCTATGTTTGAAAATTTTTTTAAAATAATCTCTGGAAGGGGGAATAACTCTTGTGACGTTCCCAGTTTTTGGTCTTTAGTACATATTTTATTTTTGGTTCGTTCTCAGACATATTGGGATATTTCAATGTACGAACAGTTACGTTCGGGACCTAGGGCCACTGGGTCTTGGATAGTAGGAATAGAGTTTTTAAGTTTAGACAAACGTAAACACACGAGAAATTATTTTTGTCACCCCAATCCTGATATATCCGTTCCGTTATGTCCGCACACCATGGAAACCTGAGAAACGATCGCACTCGACATCGATATCTCATAGAGAGAATCTCTTGATAACCGAGATTTCTAAACGAGATATGAGATCTCGTCTCAGTCCGACCTTTAATTTATTAATTAATAATTCGTATTAAACCCACAATCAGACAATCTTCTATTCGTTGACATAAACAAATTTTCTCCAAATTTTCCATGAGAATGACTAATTGTACATTGTTTAGCCCATTCCTTTGCTGAAGATTCCAAAGATTTGGAATATTTCATTAAATACATATTTGCTGCTGAAGGCATATAATCTCCCTCTTTATTTTTAGCTTTACCTTTTGCTAAAAGTGAGCGATAATGATTGTGACAATGCAAAATAATTTTTCGATTTCTTTCAGTAAGCGAAGAGATAACTGGAAATTATTAATAGGCAATTATTTCTGGAATGTTTTTGAAGGTCTCTGACTAACGTAAGGATCAGTTTTGCCGCGGGTACAAAAAATCTTCGGGTACGGGTTAGGGTATCGGGTTGGAAAATTTTCTTTTCGGATATCTGGTTTCGGGAACAAAAAATGCCGGGTCTCGGGTCTCTAACTAAAGATTATATTTTTTAGTTTAATTATTCTTTGTTAAAACTTGATTAGGATTGTCTGTTCAAACTGAACGAAAAAAACTAAAAATTTTCGGCCCGAATTTGTGTTTTGTTTAACCGAAAAAGGCGAATATCCGACACCCGATTTGATTCTAGGGTTGTTTTATGTTTAGCTCGGAATCTACTTCAAAGTAGAACAAGTAAGCGGAACATAAGTACTGCGACAAAGCATCTTAGCTTTCGAATTTTAAATACCTATTTTTCTGAATTTTTAAACTGGAAAACTTACATTCAAAAAGTAGAAATATTAATATTAAGACAAAATAAAAATTCATTCTAAATTAAAATTTTAATTTTAGATTTATTAGAATTTTCGAAATTGTTTTTAAAAATAAAAGAATTAATATAGCTTTTGATTTTTAATTTATTTAAATGATGAGAGAATTTAAAGTTTACTTTTCCTTACCTTCCATAAAATCCATTATTGTGAAATTCAAATTTGCTCATATTATTTCTAAATAATATTTACATAAACACTTTTAAAATAGATTTTAGATGAGTAATACTAATATATTTCTTTTTTTAATACCAAAAAAATTCCCAAAATTCCTGAAATGTTCTGAACGTTCCTGACGGCCAACGTTTTTTGCCAGCGTGAAGCTGATATGTACTGGGCTTTAATTTAATAATGATAGGCAAAAATGCGTTTAAATTAATTATTTATGAATAGAATAATAAATTAACTAAATTTTATTTTTATTCATTCTAAAATAATTTTAAATAAAACTTCGAATTTTTATTTAATAATCAAAAATAAAAATATTTTTTATTTATTCAAAAATAAAAAAAGCTGATTCTAGCTAAGAGACAAACTTAAAATTAAGTCTACCTCTTAATTTAAATGTTTAATTAAATAAAAATATATAGCTGCATATGTTTATGTAAAAACCTAAAATCTCGAGAACTACTAATATGTATAAATTGAATAAGTTTTTAAACAATAAAAAATATAAAAATATTTTTATGTAAATTTCGTAATGTCTGAAATTATTTTTGCTTATTTTCTAATTCCAATTTAAGTTGGGTTTTAGTCCAATAATTGGCAAATAATTGTATATTTTCTCTTTCTTCTTCGGGTAAAATATATATTTTTTTAATTCTATTTGCAAATTCTTCAAAATGATTAGTAGAAGAAATGAAAGTTAGTGAAGGTAATCGAGTTTTTGAAGTTTTTGGTGACATTTTGATGCCGACTATCCAGATCGTACATAACAAATTAGTTGAAGTATTTCTTAAAATTAAAGTAGTCAAACTCATAACTAGTACCCTCCTACATCGAAATTAAAAATCGTACTTATGGGTGTGTTGAGGCACACCAAATTTACAAAGCGTATTTTAAATTGAGATATTCATAATATAATATTTGGATAGACACTGAGAATATCGGTCTCGATAACCTAGTTTTTTGCTCGAGATTTAGTTCAGCTCGATACCTAATTTAAGGCATCTTATGATGAGGAGTAAGTAGTAGAGATTTAGTCAATTAATTCAATCAATTTAAATCCGAATAATTCGAATATGATGAGGAGTAAGTAGTTTTTTTTATATTTTAAGAAATTAAATTCAAGAACCTACTCTTTATTAGCATTCTTTTCTTTATTAATTTTTTCTTTAATATTATTATTTTTAATAATTATTGAAGGGCACTTTTCATTATTCCAAACTCTTCCAGGTTTTGCATGACAATAATTAATTTCAGAAATATTTTCAATATTAAATACAAGTCCTAATCTAATTCGGGTTTCCACAAAATTGTTAAACTCTTCAAAAATTTGATTATTCAAATTATTTGGATTTAAATTGATTGAAGTAACTGCCATAAAGTGTTCATACTTGAAAAATAAAATTTGAAAAATTAAACATTAATTTAACATTTTAAGAACCTTTTCCTCGAAAGGACCTCCATTTAGCCAGTTTATCCATGTATTCTTTATAATAATTCTGTCTTCACTACTTTTTTTCTTTTTGCTGGTGTAATATTTTATGACACTTTGAACATTTATTAACGATTCAGAAGCTTGTTTATGATAAAAATTAATTTAAAGATTATAGGAAGTGAAGTCACTCCTTCGTGCAAGGGATTCAACTCTTACTATATCACAATCCGATCTTTCCGTCAGAAAGGTTGCCCTCCTCTAGCTTTATCTTACTCATATATTTAATCCAAATACCACAGCTAAACCTCAATTAGATACCCACAAACTTTATTTTTTATAGCGTTTATTCGACTTCATTTAGGCAACGATGGAGAACCTAACTAATAAATACTCTCAATCTTAAATATATCTCATTGTAAAATCTAAATACCTATTGTAAATTATTTAAATACCTAATCTCATTTCTGAAAGTAAAATCTTCGAAGTTGAATAATTTATATTAAATCCAGAATTTTGATTAGGATTGCCTGGGGCAATAATTGGCCACATCAGCTTAGCATGTTGTACTAATCGATGTTTATTTTCATTGTAAATAGTATAATTATCAAGACCAAGTACTTGCCAACGCTTATCGTAATCAAAATTAATATCCCAATCTAGAGATTTTTTTATTGAGATAAGATCTTGATTTTGATAATATTGTTTATTTAATAAATTATTGAATTGTTTTAATAATTGTTGCCGATCAATTATGCTTTCCAATAATACAGGACTTGGCCAATCCCTGGCAAAATAAGATTATTAATAATAATTAGGTCCGGAAGTAATCCGGAGGATGGCGAAACCCAGATCGGGCATAAGGGCACTAGTATCGGACAGCAATGATAGGGCATAACTCAACATAGTCTTCCGATCTAGAGATTTTGTTTTCTTTCAGTAATTCAAAAATAAAAAGCAAAATATCTCACCATTCTGTAAATGTGATATAAAATTGCTCTAATAGATTGACAATAGATTGATTTCTATTTTTATTTAACAAAATTGTTTTGCAAGCCATTACTGATAAATTTGTTCCATTGAAAAATCCAAATTGTCCGCTATATATAAAATGTTCTTAAATTCAAAAATTATTTTCAACGAAAGTAAAACTACAAACTTTTAGCCCATATTTTTAGGACAAGAAGAAGCGTTTTAAAATTTTCAAAATTTCCTTCCATTAATTTGGTAATATAAAGATTCGAACGATAACCTTTAAATAAAATATTATTCCTTTTTTCTATTATGTATAATATCTAACCGGAAAGAGGTAATATAACTGAACGAATATCTTCGATCGGTTTTGTTTGAAGATTAAAAATAATTTGATTAATAATATTATCGGTGTCTTCTAAATTTAAATTTTCCTTATATTCTTTTCTTAAAAACGGAAGAAATTCAAATGGTTGACGGCATGGAACTCCAACAAAAAGCAAATCAAAATCATAACCATAATATACAAGTTTTAATAAAGGTACTCGACCACCAACTTTAAATAATGATGTAACACCTTCCATCTTTAAAATTAAAAATAATATTTTTTATTTAATTACTTAGTCGAACCAGATTTTTAGATAACTTAGTGGTGAAAAATTTTATTCACAATGAGGGGAGCAAGACAATGTACCACATGCCTAATGTACCGACGTAAAGATATACCGCCGTAATGAGAGGCAATTTAAATAGAGGGTTAAAAAATTAGTTTGGGGAGATCCGTAACCGGAGCCGTAAGAAAAGAATCTCACAGGAACCCTCTGGTCATTGGGATCTCCCAGCAACTGCCAGCCTTAGACGGGTCTCCTTTGGACATCTATTCTGTCCAGTGACGATTAAATTCTATAATCATAGTCTAAAATAAGATGTAACTAATAATCGGAGAGGAGGTATATAGAAATCATATTCGACTGTATATTAATTAAATAATTACCCTTCTAATTATATTATATAACGAATTTTGATCTTCATTAAAAACCAAATTATTTGTATATTGTAAATTAATCTCATCAATATTCTCATAATTTGGCAATAATACAATCATATCAATATCCGACTCAGGCGTGAGAGATTTGAATATATACGAACCGGAAATAAGTATAAGAGATTCTGGACGCTAAAATTTTTGAGTAAAATGAAAAAATGTAATTTTTATTTTTAAATGAAAAAATGTAATTTTTATTTTTAAATAAATATTACCCATCCATAAATGATTGATTTAAAGTATGAAATTGTCTCCTCGAGTGGATATATTTTACTATTATCTGATGGTATCAATTGAA